ATCGTGTCGGCCCCTGTGGGTGGGGATTGTCTCTGTTCAGGCACAGAGACTTTGTCCACCGAACAGTTCGATTGGTCCTCATCCTCGGACCTGCGGATCGCTGAGTTCCTGACCTGAAGGAAGGTCAACTGCGGGTCTTTGTGGACCTCCTCCTTCAACTCTCTCCTTAAGATCGGGGTTGCTAGCCCCTCGATGAAATGGTCCCTCAGTAGGCGTACATCAATGTCCGGTGATTTGCCCTTTACCAAATCAAAGGCCCTGTTCATCCTGTGTGAGTACTCCATCACACTCTCCGCCATTCTCTGCTTTAAGCCCACGAATCCCGATAGCAGTTGCACTCCCGACCGTCTCTCCCCAAAGGTCTCCATAATCAGATCTAGCACCTTATCTGGATCTGATTGGACGGTCCTATCGTGGCACTTAACCTCTGCCCTAACCGTTTCACCTATACTGCCCATCAGCAGTCTTAATCTTTCCTCTGGTGACATATGTCTCGAGGCCCAGGCCGCTTTGACCTCTTCACTGAACCTGTTGGTTAAAGTTGGATCTCCGTCCCCGTAAAATTTGTTAATATGGGACTCTCTGGGTAGGACCACTATATGGGTCTGCTTCTCGTCCAGAGTAGACATTTTCTTCCTTAAGTACTAAAAAAAAGAGTTCTTTCTTACCGTGTGTGTATGAAAAATTTTTCCTCGTTCCTCAATTTTCACAGTTCCTGAATGTCCGAATTCACACACACACTAAACACAGTTATGCACAAGGTTGACTATAGGTGCCTCAAACGGCAAGTCTAGTTGAATTCATCCTGATCGCAGCGCCAATTGTGACGAGCGAACATTTATCCTGCCGACAACGCCAATTGTAACGAGCCAACAGTTACCATGCTCGCAACGCCACATGTAATGAGACCTAATTGCCTGTAGTGCCACGTGTTAACGAGTTTAACCACTCATTCTAGACAACATTGACCACAGTATAGATACTCAAGATGCAGGTTCGCTATTGATCCTTTATTACATGAATCAAGAAATGCTTCATAATAACACAATAAATCAACAGGAATGCTTCTCAATAATAGTCTGAATCAACTGACCCCTAACAGTCCTTCACTAGGCTTCATATAACTGAATCCACATGTCTATAATCCTCCTTAACACAATACGGCTAACCCGTTCTATAACCGACTTGACATAGTCACACAGACTGACTGATCTAAGCGAGCGATGAAAGAGGCAAGAGGGGAAAAGGGGTCGAGCTCCGCCGTCCCCCCCTATTTATCCCTTGAAATCGTAGTCGTACTTGTATCCATTTCCGTAATCGATACTTGTAATCGATGTCTCCGAATACTATTGCGCAGTTCTACGTACAGTCCGACTAATAAAACACCTGCATCCTATCCATCAAAGTTGACAGCTCGTCTGAAACTTCTCGTACCGTTTCCCAAAATAGCACGCGTTGGCTTTGAGATTGTTATCAGACCGATCCAATAAGCCACCTGTTATAGTTGCGTCAGATTTCATACTGCGTCGCGGCTTCTCGTTCGTTATCATTTGTAACTGGTAGTTAGGCCTACCCCAGTTACATATATATATATATATATATATATATATATATATATATATATATATATATATATATATATATATATATATTTATATTTATATATATATATATATATATATATATATATATTATATATATATATATATATATATATATATATATATATATATATATATATATATATATATATATATATATATATATTATATATATAAAGAAATTTATGTGCGTGAGTGTGTGTGTTTCTGTTTGTCTTATATCCATTATATATATATATATATATATATATAAATAAATATATATATATATATATATATATATATATATATATATATATATATATATATATATATATATATATATATATATATATATATATATATATATTATATATATATATATATATATATATATATATATATATATATATATATATATATATATATATATATATATATATATATATATATATATATATTATATATATAAAGAAATGTATGTGCGTGAGTGTGTGTGTTTCTGTTTGTCTTATATCCATTACCACACCTTTCATCTGTTCACCATGATACTAGGAAGTTGTTGAGAGGTATCTGCTAAAGAAAAAACAAGGCAAACTCGCAGGATTGCTTCCCCCCTCCCCCCTCAAACCCCCCTCCCCCCCTCCATTCGGCAGGACGATTATTCTCTATATACGGTATATAAAAATAGAAGTCGCTTGCGGATTGACACCGGGCTTACCCGTGAGCACCATGTCGGCTACGATCATTTTAAACAGCGCGACAGGCTATGGATACAATGGGTTGCTATAGTCGCTTATTTAATCGAATCAGGCGCGTCCTCCGGCGTCTCTGCAGGGGGCGATTTGGCGCCCAGGACTATCCAGCGAACACTACATGCCTAAGTTAGTTTTAAGGAGCACCCTACAATAATGATAATGCGGCATATGACATTCGACTTACCGTCTCCGACACATAGGCGGAGAGTGATTAACGATGATATTACGGTGAGTACACTCAAGGCTTTAATATAGGCGGTAGTGTAGGTAAACCGATAAATATGATGCAAGCGCAGGCACTGTTTACATTTAAATAACTCAATTTTAGAAAACAAGGAATTATATTGAAATAGGGAGTAACTAAATATTTTAATAGAATAGCGAGTGTTTATTGGTTATATTTATTAGTATATCGTTCATTACCGTGTCTTGCAGACTAATATTTTTAAGAGCTTTAAAAATACAGAAAATATTATCTATATATATATAATTATCTTCTGGGAGCCGCTAGAAAACAAGCTGCAAACGCGCTCCCTACCGTCTCCACCCCTACAGGGTCTGGTGAGCTGTGGTTCACTCTTTATGTTTACAAACATTACAAACACAGCCGGGTTTAGTGACGACTATTAGGGGCAGATAATTTAGTTTGAAACGATTTTAAACGTAGGGAAGAGGGGTAACTAAGTGGAGTTTACTTTAACGGAGGGGTGGCAGCGTTGGTAGTGTCGAATTAACAAATTATGAATAACTGAAAAGTAGAAAAAACAACAACTAAATAGAGGCGTATGATATGCCGATGGTCGGCTCGTTTATTAATATTTGTGCATGGAGCTGAAGAGCCGCATCTTGACATCAAAAGAGCCGCATGCGGCTCGCGAGCCGCAGGTTGCCGACCCCTGGACTAGACCTGATAATTTTCTGTGTTCAAATTCAGTTCAGACTTTTACACTCGACTGGATCATTGTATATTTGAAGGGTTTAAGCATCGGAAAAAAAACACTTCCTTATTCATAAGCCTTTTTATTTATTTGTGAGCATCTAAGTTAGGGTACTTAAGCGAAAATATCTTTTCAACCTATGATTGCTATTGCCACGACGGCCATCTTGAAAAAAAGTTTTGTGGGGATCCCACATTAATCCTTCTTTTACTAACTCTTAAGAAATCTACAGAAGCATTTTTGTAAACTTTTAGAATACTAGTACAGATATACAATACTAAATATAGCGGTTTTTATACATGTTTTAGTAATTTAATTTATAGTTAATTTAGCGCATTACTACAAAAAAGATTGTAAATTAACCTCTTTAAATCTTCTTTTACAATAAATTTGGGATAAATGAAAATTCCTAGAAAAAATATGTAATATAATGGTGAAGTGGACAATAATTTGTAAAGTTATATGGTATAAAATACCATTACCATACCACAAAATACCACTAAAACCAGTGGGGTAGCTACCGTAAATCTAGCCTAAGCAAGGCATATTGGCATGGACCATTTTCCCTCTTTAAAGAAAATGAAAACTTTTACTTTGGAATTTTAATATTTCTTTTATAAAAATAATTTTAAAGAGAAAATGGAAATCCAGTATATTTTCTACTGTAGAAAAAAATCAAAAGTCCCAAAAAGCCCCCCCCCCCCTCCAGAACTTTTAAACGGTAGAGGTCGTTGTATTCAGTGTGGGAGGGGGGGGGGGTCGCATAGGGCTCATCGCTATTAATAACACTGGTACAAGTGTTGTTGCATTGCCGGGAAAGCCGTTGAGAGAATTAGAACATTGAACTTAAACATTGACTCTTTTGTGAGATAAGCATCCGTCTCGTGAAATTTACAAGCATCGCTATAACCCTCCCCCTTCCCCTCTCTCTCAACCGTCTGTTCTAACAGACATTTTTTATTATTTTAACGGGATAAAAAATAGTTTTGACAGTAAATTTTACGATTTTTCGTCATCGTGCCACGCCTAAATTGTGACACCTCCAATCTCTCCTTTTGACGCTACTGTGTTAGGTTACTTAAATGTTAATTTGTTAGTTTGCTTTTATATAAACGTGATACACAATCAAAGGTGTTTTACGTTACGGGGTACTGCATAAATTAAATACACATTTTACAGATTGACGAAGGAGCCCAATGATAATTTTTGCATAGGGGCCCGTAAATCCTAGCTACGCCACTGACTAAAACATCACCAAAATACCATAACGCACACCACAATAGGGGGTCGGCGTGGTCGAGTCGGTAAAGCTCATGATTGCTAAACCGAAAAGTCTCGAGTTCGAACCCTCGGGCAGATGAGGCTCGTTAGCTGGGGACAGCCACTCTTCTAGGAGAGACAACTGCTGCCTTGTAGTTTGTTCTTGGTTGGACAAAGGCTATGGAAGCAAATCCAAAAAGAAAAGCAGGCTGAAATCGGAGTCAATGGCCTCAATGGCGCATAACCAGTTGACACGTACCGCTTAATTGTGTTGGAGGCGTGGTCGAGTCGGCAAAAAGTTCATGTTTGATAAATTCGAACAAACTTTCGAGTTCAAACCCACTGGCAGATAAATCTCGATCCCCTTCAACACTAAAAATTAAGAACGAAGAAGAAGAAGAAAAGACACCACAATACCACTAATTATCACCATAACCATTAAAATGACTCATTGTATTCCACAGCCTTCTTCTTGTTTGCGGCGTTGGCCCTGACGAGTCCTGAAATCCAGCCCATTGGACTTAGGAAATATGCCCTTTATTATATACTGCTCTTTGCTCCATATTCTGTTCAATTCACTACTGGGTTGCTGATGATCATTGAAATGTATAATTTCACGTGATTAGTGAATTGTCAATGTATATGTAATAGGTGTTAATATTAGGAGCATGAATGCTAAAATATGTGTGTTTGCGTATTTGGTTATAAATAAAAATATATGGATATAAATAAATACATGTATGTGCGTTTGTATGTGTGTATGTGTGTGTGTGTGTTCGTGCGTTCAAACCAGACAGAAAATGTATGAGCATTGCCAAACCAAAATTAATAAATTTTTTAAATTAATATTTTAATTCACAGCATTGTTTATATCTACACACTTAAAAGCACGTTTCTATAGAAATTGTGTACTAATTTGATATGTAAATAGCGAATCTGACGTGATGTATTCTAATATAATTTTGGTGAAGATTCTCTTCTAGGCAGAGTGTAACACGAAATGATTTTAACACGGAGAAATATTTCCGTCCCCTGAGATTTTATTTTAATTGAACGATTTCCACTATATTTTATGCAACTAGTGTAGTTACAAAAACAACGTATTTGCATGTCAACAAGAACAAGATCAATCCCAAAACCAAACCGAGCTATTATGCGTAACAAATGGAAAAAAAATTATAATACAAATAGTTTGGAATGGGGCTATACCCTTTTGGTTCGACTCATTGAAATCCATTCGTGTGTGTTTAATTGAAATGTAAATAAATTCATTACAATCCAGTCGGCCTACAGTCTAGTAAATTCAGTAAAGGAGTCAGTCCTCTGAAATGTTATCGTGTATTCATACACAGCAGTTAATATTGGGATGGCTTTGTGTAAAAAAAAACACGCAAAATTAACCGCAAACATTAATGAAAACACATACTTCAAAATAAACGCAACATACCCACAAATATCAAGACAAACGCAAACCTAAAAGCAAACTATATCGGAAGCATAAACACGAAAATACAGAAAACTTAGAGGCGAAAAGTATTCTATAAACATAGTTTCGCTATTCTCTCACCCTGTCTATCTCTCACAGGAACCATTTAGAGAAAACACAAGCAAAATAAAACCTTTCACAGTCAAACGGAAAACGAAACGTGACGTCACATGGAAGATATAGGAAATATTCTAAAGCCGGAAAAGTACACACTATAATATGAACTCATTAATTCTATAGTAAACAGAATTAAAATGCCATTCCCAAAAAATGCGCAATAATATCGACCTCATCGATACTCGATAATAAAGACACTGACATTACCGCCATAAGTTGTTTCAGGCATCTCTGCCGGTAGGTGCAAAGCCCCCCCCCCCCCCTCTCGAACGCAGTATAATTTATTTTGAAAATATATACTTATACCAGTGTTGCCCACCCCCGCCCCCTACCCCGGAGAACTTTATTCGCCCTTGTAAAAATTTCAAGTACCCCCACCCCCGGGAAAAAGGTGTGAAAGAAACACTGACTGCGTGATTGAGATTTAGTAGCCAAAAGTAAGAAACTGTTCTAGATTATAGAAGTAGTGTCTACCTTTAGTCTGCATGATCTACAATTGCAACCTGTATTTCTTTCACTCTTTTTTCACCACGGCGGGTTTGGGGGGGGGGGGGGGGGGGAGGCACTCGAAATTCTCGGAAGGGGTGAAGTGGACTTAATTTTCCAGATTGAGGGCAGACAGTGGTTAAAGTGTATTTTCTATATAAATTCTAAGTCGTTATAGGGGGCGGTTATATCTGCCCCCCCTCACCCCCCCCCCCCCCCCCGAAGAGTTGCCTTAAGAAACTCTAAATGCGACTTTTGTTAAGTTTGAGCGTAGGTGCAAAATTAAAGGGTATGACTACGACTATATTTAGTATGAATGTGCACTAATTACGTTCCGATTCTGGATAAAAATCCGCATTCAATGGATTGTTCGTTTCCAGTTAAATTTAAATTTGTGGTGGTGATTTTGGTTTTGGAAAAAGATAAAAGTATCGACCAAGCGCACGTTGTATTTCTCGCTTAACGGGCCATATATCTCGTTTTAGAATAGAATATGCTGCTTTAAAACGTATGACATAAAATTATCCAACAGTCACGTTCTGTTTTGAAAATGGTAAAATCGTAAAGTATTTAAATTTAAAATAGATGCATCGATCATAATAAAATTTTGTTTAAAATGCATTTTAAATACTAAAGTTTGACATAACGTGCTCCTTTTTTGCAGAGGCGAAGCGACCCTTCCAGGCGCCCGGGGACAAACTTTCGATTTGCACCCCCCTCCCCCTCAAGATTTCGATTTGCCCCCCCCCCCCCCATCCTCCTCAACATTTCGATTTTGCCCCCCCCCCCTCAACCTTTCAATTTATTTTTCCAACCCATTTTGGCACCCCCTAAGGTCGGTGCCCGGGGACATATGTCCCCCTCCCCCTCGCTACGCCTCTGCCTTGTTGCAAATTGTCCATATCCTTTTCTTTTAAGAGTGAAGTATCATCCTGATAAAAAAAACAGCAACCATTAAACAAATATATATTTTTTTTATCATAGCGATTATCATTAAACAGCGTATACAATCAGATGGGCCTAATTATGATGTATAAAAATGTAAAAAAAATAATAGTACGCAAAAAAGCTAAGCATATTAGTTTTAAATGTAAAAGAGATTTTTTTCATAGTATAAAGCTAACATTATTATCGCTAAAAGAACTGCATCGTTATTTAATTTCAAAATTTCAGAATTTTAAAAATATGGTAAGTATAAGAATATGTGTATTGCAATTCTTAAAAATTAAAATTGAACAAAAGTGTTATGGTTTTAGTTGTGGGTGTAGATTATAATATTAGTAAAATATTTGCTATAGATTTCAGATACCTTGATTCAAGTATTTATCATTTCTTCATAAAGAGAAACAAATGTTATTTTTAAAAACGTTCCTTATTTTAGATTTACCATACAGAAGAGTCGTCGCGAGGGCGGGGCGGAGGGGGGGGGGGGTGCGGACCGCACCAATGTGACACCATTTAAGGGATAACACCAAAGTAAAAAATTACAAAATGTACAGAAGAAATATGGTATTTTGCCAGTTAAAGTAATGATTAATTAAAGATAAATAGTGTTTAAGTACAAATCTACAATTATTACAAGGGTTGTGGGGGTGATACCATGAGTAAAAATTCTTACAATAGAGAATAATGCTGTACCCAACTGTATTATTACCAAACTATTGATAAACATCGTTAATCCGAATAATATAAATAATTACATCAGCATATACTCATGTGTATGTGCATTTGTCTTTAACATAGTTCAATCATTTACAAAAAAATTATCATTACAGAAACAAAATGGTGAACATTACTAAAAAAATTAATTGTCGATAATTAATTCAAATGAAGGTAACTAGAGATAAAGAGATAAAGAAATACAAAATTTTTTATTTTTACCATAATAGTCCAAATAAGCTTTTTAATGTTTTTTTTTACTACTTTTACTTAGATAAGAAATATTTTTTTTTATATTTAAAAACTTTTTTTTTGCACTTTAAAACAATTACTTCAACGTTTTTTACATAATTTCAAACATCTAATAAAAACGAAGGATTATACAGAAGTGCATAATGATTATTTACAGGCTGACATATGTCATATAAATGGTAATACGAAATTAAAAGGTATAAACCTAAAATGGGATAAAGGTAAAATGAAAGATTTGGAATCCCGGTGGGGAGTGGGAAAGGACTCTATTACCAGCGATATATATAAATTATCTTTAACATAGTTCAATCATTTATAAAAATTATCATTACATGAACAAATTGGTGAACATTACTAAAAAAATTATTTCTCGATCATTAATTCAAATGAAGGTAATTAGAGATAAAGAAATAAAGAAATTCAAAAATGTTATTTTTACCATAATAGTCCTATTAAGCTTTTTAATGGGTTTTTTATAATACTTTTACTTAGATAAGAAATAATTTTTTTTTTATATTTAAAAACTTTTTTTTTTACAATTTAAAACAAATACATCAACATCAACATGTTTTACATAATGTCAAACATCAAATGAAAACAGAGGATTTTACAGAAGTGCATGATGAATGCTACAGTTATCTACAGCCATCTTGTAAAAGTTTTTTTATCTACCTGGCACGGTCCTGATTCATGACTTAAACCCCTTATATCCGAGACCTGCGGTTTATGAATTAGGGAGGAACAGGGGACCACAATTTAAAGTAATCAGTGAATGATATCAATTAACTTATCGATCTATATGCTTGTATAAGACAATGTTTTGTAATTAAACATAGGACCATATGTTTGTAAAGATCAAACAGCTACATTAAAACGTATGTGTAAGGAATGTAAAGAACATACAGCTACATTAAAACGTATGTGTAAGGAATGTAAAGAACATATAGCTACATTAAAACGTATGTGTAAGGAATGTAAAGAACATACAGCTACATTAAAACGTATGTGTAAGAAATGTTAAGAACATTCAGTTACATTAAAACGTATGTGTAAGGAATGTAAAGAACATATAGCTACATTAAAACGTATGTGTAAGGAATGTAAAGAACATATAGCTAATTTAAAACGTATGTGTAAGGAATCTAAGGAACATACAGATACATTAAAACTAGCTTACGATTAACGGGATGATGTTATCAAGAGTATGAGAGTTCAGCTGGTAACCCGTTTGTCTAGAGTTCGGATCTTGAGTCTACAGGTTATCCTTGAATGCAGTGTAGATAACAGAGCAACATTTAAACGTTTGACTGAGGAACATTGCTTTACGATTAGGTATGGAGCATATGTCTCTACTTTGTCTGTGGTAAAAATAAAACTAGATCTATATGCCAACAAAAGCAGATTACTACTTAAATGTAAAATCATATTTTTATATAATGGTTTCAGAGTTCTGAGTTGTAATGCATAACTTATCCTTTCATCCTTTAACTTTATGATATAGTGATTTTACAAAAAAACATCATAGAGATCTTCTGTATCTCTTTATCTATTAAATCGTATGATTTTGCGTCTTTGTTTTGTGATAAAGTCATGAAACTAAGAACATCATACGAAAACGCGACACGGTAAATTTGAAGTCTATTTGAATGAAGTGATCCTAGCTATTGCACAGACAGAATTTGTTTACCTCGTACCCATATTATTATGGGACAAGACATAGAACGAGTGCACCCTTTAATAGGCACTGAAGCAGAACCTCAGACTGGTAAAATTTCGTTTGGGTACACATCTAAATATAAACGTGTAAATCCTGATGTGTATTTTGTGCACATACTCGGGACCAATGTAAACCTACTATTTGCTAATTATTACATTGTAAATTATATAATTTCTAGAGTAAGCATTAAAGTATCTACATTTGATTTCATAATTACCTGGTCATAATCTGAATAGGGATAATTTGATTGGCTAAGAGGACGTGTTCTGAGGTAATTCCATCTTGTAGTGTAGGTTACTTCCTTGTTTATTTATTTGCCTTCGGTCTTCATCCAACACGGATGTATTTCCTCAAACAACTGAATTTTGGTTTACAAGAAAGTCCAATAAGTAATTATAAATACATTGCTAAAATTACGTGAGTAGGCCTATATACACGTTTTATAAATACTTAATTAGAATTCAAATTTTAAATACAAAAAATAAATCTATAAATGAGCTTACATTCCTAAGAGGTAGAGCGCTAGGCTGCTAACCCAAAAGTCACGAATCATTACGTCAGTATACGGTCCCTGAGTCCACCCAACATTGATGGGTACCTAACTCACGATAGGGAAAGTAAATGTGATTAGGAAGAGTACTGACCACACTTTCCCTTTATATGCCGAGGTTAATAAATATATGCACTCTATCTCATCTGCCTAATGGATCACTAGGTCTAAAGACGATTCTTTACTTTACTTATTAGAGCTTCTGCCTAGCTTCGCTTAGGTTTTCCAAAATATTTTGTTTGAAATTCAAACTTGGGATCTAAACTCGAGACTTTTGTTTTCGCAGTTTAGCGCTCTAGCGCTAGATTATGCCGTCCAAAACGCTATACATAATCTGTATATTAATATTAACACATTCTAGACTTTGGACTATTTCTAAATATATACCAACCTTTCAAATGTAACATTCTAAGTTTAATCATTAAAAGCCAAAAACTTCCTCCTTTTCAAGGTATATGAACTATATAACCGATGTAATAAATTGAATATTGAAAATGTCAGTGGAACAGGTAGGTCGAAGGGGGAAGGGTTGAGAGCTCTATCATAACTATCAAAAGTCTCGAGTTCGAATCCCGTACCCAAGTCTGTAGAATCCGTCCCACCACGATGGGTAAGTAACTTCCGTTCGGAAGAGCCAAGACAATTGGGCATATAAGTTCTCACAGAATACCCCAACATGCCGACGTCACAGAATCAGTTCAACTCTAGCTGATCTGCCCTTGGAAGATAATTGTTATGTCTTAACGATTAGGCCGGGAAAGGCAACAATTTTATGACTCGGTACATGTAACTGAAATAATTGCACCTACTAATCCTCCACCCGCCCCCCCCCCCAAGTCTAAAGTGCGAACCCCTAACCCCCTCCTCCCCGCCCCCTAGAATTTTTTTTTTAAAACACCGTTTGCTGTTCACCAGTGGTAGCTGAATCGTTCTGTGTAATTTGCGGGGCCGTTGTCGTGATGGCTTCTACCTCAGAACTTTAGAGTCGGTGTATTGTGGTGAACAAGCCGATACACAACCGAGGCGTAGCGAGGACGGGTGGGGGGGTATGAGAACCACGGCAAAAAAATGTTGCAAATATACAGAAGACAAATACTTTTTGCCAGTTCCATTAAGGATTAATTAAAGTTAAATAGTCTTTTAAGTACAAATCGACAATTATTACAGGGGAATTGGTGTGACACCATTACGTGAACGTTGAAATGGAATCAGACCTCTTCAGTTTGCTCGAGGAAAGACCAGGAGAAAATTTTAATTCAGAGTCTTCAACTATAAATTCTGGTGAGTTAAACCTTGGGGTAGACGACAACGCCGGATACCAGATGACGTCAAACGCAACAACAGATCAGCCGTCAGGGTATTCTCAAGATTCAACTGTAGACAGCAGAATTCATAGAGGAGTGAGCAGACGGTATTCAGGTCATGACCTGATGGAGATTCGCCGTCAGAGGGAAATAAATAAGGTACTTGTTATAAAAAAATAAATTTTATATCTTGATATTAGGTTTAAAACTATGTATACGTAGCTATGTAATTTACTCTTGTGTTACGTCTACAGGCCAAAAAAGAAGCAGCCGCTTTGGACGAGAGTTTTATTCTCGAAAAACTGGCTGACGTTGAACCAGTAGCAGTGACATTCTACGATAAAGCTACAGGAGTAAGGGAATACCATTTTTAAATTTATTTGAATGAAGTAATATTTTTTACCATTGAATTACCATTTTAAATAGAACATACATTTAATTTTATACCTTAGCATAAGGTTTGTCTTTAAATGTCGCCGTTAACCTTGGAGGTGGGGAGTCGGGTTCTGAATTTTGAGACGAGTAGGTGGAGGCTCAGAGACACGACAACAAATTCTTTTTTTTTTTAAAGTAATGTTAGCGGCGTTAGTTGAAGGTTCTAAAATGGTGTTTTTATTTTAAATTTAAGAGCAATTGATTAAAGTGCTTATTGTCGACCATGTTAGGCAAATATTGCTTTTTTTGTCAAAGGGGAGTGATGTAGAATAAAGTGTGACGATTTGTGTCACGGATGGGCGGGTCCGGCTTTTTTGTGACGATAGCTGACAATAGGGAGGTTGGTGGAGGGGGGGGGGGGGTGTAAAAATAGACCAACAAAGCATGACGCAATGACTGACCTCTTGTTCAGTCATTAAAACATGGTAACTGGACCACAGAATTTGGACGAGTTTATACTAATTTATACTCATAGACTCGCACGCGTACACATACGTACTCATAGATTTTGAAATAAAATTAAATGATACGCAAAGACAGTCATATATATATAAATATATATATATATATATATATATATATATATATATATATATATATATATATATATATATATATATATATATATATATATATATATATATATATATATATATATATATATATATATATATATATAATATTTCTATGTATATATATGTATATACATATATATATATAAATATAAATATATGTATATATATATATATATATGTATATATATGTATATATATATATATACATATATATAATGTAATATAATATTTATAATTTATATAATGACAGATTACATTCGATGCTGCTGGTAATGAAATATCCAGAAGTCAATACGAATTAGATAACGTTGAGAATCTGCAGGCCACTGATCGGGTTCGGCTTATCAATACAAGAGATACGAAAAACCCCTTGATGAGAAACCCCTTGAGGGGAAACCCCTTGAGAGGAAAGCCCAATGGAAGAAAATCCTACAGAGATTCACCTTTCAACACACACGATGATCGAAGAAGGCATGAAGGTACATCCCGCCATCCACACGCTAATCCATGTAACATCGGGTTGTATCCAATTGATCAACAGGCTTATCCTCACCTATCCATGAACCAAAATCAAAAAGTTAATCCAGAAAGTTATCAAAGAATGAGACAACCCGTGAATGAATTACTTTATCAACCGATGCATCCACCAATGAATCCACAAACCAACCAACAGACCGCTGGGCAATACCCACAGAACGCAACCACTCAACCCAACAACAGACAGAACGTGTGGTCGACCAACCAGCCACAACTAATCATCATACAACAACCCCTTCCTCTATCAACCCAACCCAGTTATTACGGACAACCACTAGATTCAGATACACAACAGGTAATTACAACCTGAAAGGTTTACTTTGATGCCATCTTAATTCAACTCAATATTTGCTTGTATTTCAGAATGTTAAGCAAACAGAATCATATGGCTGTTATATAGCAACTAGCCATCGGTACCCGTTACACGGGCAATTCTGATGTCATTTAGCTCTCTTCTATTTACAAATAAGCTACCCGGTTTTTCTTTTAGATATTTATCTCCGGGAGCGGCATTTATATTTCTCAGACCGTCCCTCTGATCAGCGGGTTATGTAACACATTAAACGTGTAAAGCTATTAAAAACTTATTAAACCAAGACGTAAAAACCAGTGATCCAAAGAGTAAGGCGCCAGTTGGAGGGTTCAGACGATCCATGTGTAGACGTGTACATAAATAGTGTACAAAAAATTTGCTAGAACTCTAAGTCTCGACCTATGCAGATGTGTACATGGATTGTGTATATGACTCTTCCTACCATTTTTAAATACTAATTAACTAACGCAACATTTTGGGCGTTGTATTTCTCATTAGAGCATATATTTACAATTATGCATGAAGTGTAGGTTTACAACTACTTATGGAGCATAGGTTTACAACTATGAACGGAGAATAGATTTAAATTATGTATTAAACATTTGAACTTACTATAAGTAAGGAACAATTGACAACTTGAATGTGAAATGTTTTGGAAATATTCATTTAAAAGTTTTTAGTTTCAATGTAAAACCCTTTAATTTAATCTTTTAGTGATAAAAAATAAAATTCTTCTTGTTTAGGAAATATTCATTGAGATTACGTTTTATGATAAATACACCTAGCTTGGAATATGAACTGAAATATAGCCCGGGAAATTCCAAGTCTAATTGAAATGGAGAAATGCAAAGCCTAGCTGTTGTATAGACCGAACTAGTTACGTTTGCCCAATATTATTTTGGAACTGAATAACGAAGAGTATGCCCACTGCCGTAGAATACATGCGTGATTTGGAGTTTGGATTTTATACTATTCTGTAAACTAATGTTAATTTTAAAATTCACCAATGAATACAGACTAACTAAACATGAATTTGAGACGTAAAAAGTATACATACAGCAACTATAATCATTACCCTGACTTATCTGGATAAGGTTAATTTTTTGGCTAGTTGGAAGTGTTTGTTGGGTAAAAAAGATTCTGAAGCTTAAAGAGTTGAATACACCGTGTAGTTTACATCGTGGTTTAAATATTTGCACCCGGCCGTCATGTAACACGGCCGTCATCTGACACGTTAGCTGTATCCCGTTAAATAACTCAACATTCCTTTCACAAAAATGACGTATAAATAGTTTTACTAGTGTTGTTTAATAACGTAAGTACATAACCGTATATAGAATAAATATGTTTTTGCCAGTTCAATGAATGTTTAATTAGAGTTTTTAAAAAAAAAAGTTTAAGCTCATAATTAATATCTCGACAAGAGGGAGGGGGGGGGGGGGGGGGGGGGGAAGGGGATCGGCCGGTCGGTCGTTCGGTCGGTCGGTCGGTCTGTTCGTTCGTTCGTCCGTCCGTCCGTCCGTCCGTTTCTGTTTTTTTTAAATGTGAAGTAGAATTCACCTGTTTCTTTGTCCTCGGCATATTAAGGGATAGTATGATCAGAGACAAGCTCGGCCGGAAATGTTTTTTTAAACGATAAAAACATGTCGTCTGAGACTTGACGGGACACTGGGCAGGTGAAGTAGAGTTAAGTAGGTCACCTGTGACGTCAGTATATGAATGGATAGTGTGGTCAGACCCGTGCTCAGCCGAAATCGGTGTTTTAAAAAGAGAAAAAACGTCTTTTTGAATGTGGGGTATGGTTATTTTGTGATGATAAGTGACAAACGTGATGTCATTTATGGATGAATCCCGAAACTCGCAGTTATCTTATTAGATAACGGGTAGTCTAGTATACTACTAAAACTCAAGTTTGTTTACATGTTTGAATATTTTTTTTTTTTTGTTTGTGCGTTTGGTTACAGGAGAGAATCTGCACTATGTGTAGAGCTGTTAAATAGTTTGTAGTTAGAGAACAATTGTCTTTTTTAGACAGACTGTTTATGACAAATTGATTTAAAGACGTTAATTTATTTATTGATTGATTCATTGTAAGATTAACCACATTAATTATAAAGTTCAGAACAATGACTTTACTTAGACTGAATAGTGACGTCACATAATTTATTTACTTTTTAGAAAAATGATGGCGGCTTCCATTGAAGATTGTGTTGCCCATTAGAATTATAAAGCTAATTTTCTGTCGGCTATAGCTTTAACGATTTGTCCATATGCTATTATTATTATAATCCAACACTAATAATTTTCAACAGTTTTTTTTTTAGTATACAATACATTTCACTAGATCTACAGATCAGCTGTCGAAGGAAGAAAAAGTTATGAATCTAGATCTAAGTCAAACCAAAATTAATTACTTAATTAAAAATAAAATCATTAATAAAGACACGTAAAATTATTGAGTTTCTTGATTAAATTATTTTATTCGTTAAATATTCGATATAAATATTTGCTTTTTAGCTTCACGGGTCATCTAATTCAAGAATACAAGTGATTTATCTATCTAGGACAATATTGGTTCTAGCAAGAGTTACGGTGAAAATTAGTCTTAACGAAACCTGTAGTAGAATCTAGATAATTCTATCTAGATCTAGATAATAATGAGTTTTTTTTCTAAACTATTTGAGACCTTCATTATTTTATATAAATCTTTGTTTGTTTAGCTATGGAATTGGTTAATTTGAGATAAAATTTAGCTTGAAATAATTCTAAATCTAGGGCCTATTCGCGTAAATAAAGTTTCTTACGCAGACTAATAGTAAAATATATAAGTTAATACATTCCTAAAAATACGATCCTAGATGGCCAAGATGTAACCGTATTAGGTGACCATGCGGGTGGCACGGGTTAGAGACATGTCAACTCATTTTTCTGTTGATCAATTTTTATGTAACTTTTTTTGTTAGATGTAAATGATAAAGTTGCCTATTGGAACCTTGCGGGATACAGGGCAGGTGAAGTAGAGTTCACCTGTTTCTGTGTCATCAGCATATGAAGGGATAAGGTGGTCAGAGCCTAGCTCGGCCGGAATCGATTTTTAAAGATAAAAACATTTTGTCTGAGACTAGGCGGCACACTGGACAGGTGAAGTAGAGTTGTGTAGGTCACCACGTCTTTTTGAATGTGGGTTCTGGTTATTGTGTGACGATATGTGACAGACGTGATGTTTTTATGGATGACCCCCAAAACACACAGTTATCCAAGGGACGACGGGTAGTCTAGTTAGTATTAAATGTGAAAACTTTAAAGCATTGACCCTGGGCGGGAGGGGGGGGGGGTGTCGACACAGACTGAAAATTATATAGAAAAAAAGGGTGGTGTGGTGACATTATGAGGTGCCCACAGAAGTCGGTATATTTTTGGGCCTTTATAAACTTATATGCTAATACAATATTTAGTGAAACAAAAAAAGTGGCAGGAAAAATTATTCAAATATTATATTTCCTATATATTTTATGCATTTTTATTTCTTTCGGGGTTGTAGGTGGGGGTGTATATTTGGGCGTGCTCTGGGGAAAGGGTTTGTGACCCCCTTCCCCTTCAAAAATAAAGAAGGCAGCTGGCGGAAGTAATGGGGGTGGGGGGGGGGGGGGGGCAGGGTTATGCGAAATAGCAGGAAAATGATGAAATAAAAATTGTCGGAAACATTTAGCTTTAGAGTCCCATAAAGCAAGGTATACAAAGTGCAACTGATGCTTGAATTGATAATTAGATATTCTATTTTGAGATCAAGGATTAATAGAATTATAATTTCTCTCCAGACTGCAGTGAGTTTTTCTTTAGTAATGCCATTGTCATTAAATACAATATCTGTTTTTCAGGATGTTATGCTCACCGAGTCGTATGGCTGTTACATAGCAATCAGCATCTTTACTCTCCTGTTCTGTTTCGTCCCCTTCGGCATCATCGGCTTACGTTTATCAATAAATGTAAGTAGTTTGTCCGTGTGCTTTCTGTTTACATTCGAGTGAATTCATGCAATGGTACTGTTTATAATAAACTTCAAATAGCAGTAATAGACTTTAAAACGTGACTGATTTTATTCATTACAATGTAAATTGATTAAGATTATAAAATGGATAACAATAAAATTGAATAGACAGATATGAAGTTTGTGAAAACAAAACATATATACTGCAGCAGTGATTTTTCTACAGTAGCTAACACATACCATTGCGTAGAGACAAAAAAAACTACATAAGTTGTATCATTAAAAAAAAGGCAAACCTTATACCATATCCATGACAATAATCATAATTTCCGGCGGTTTTTTTTCTGATCTCAGGTAATCTAGGTTCAACCTACATTACCTGAGATCAGAAATGAGTTTCAGTCTATCTCTGTGCTGTTTGTTGTCTTATGGTGGGTATACTTTGCAATGAAGCAGGTTAAATGGTTTAATTTAAAATTTAGTGAGACAGTCTGATATATATATATATATATATATATATATATATATATATATATATATATATATATATATATGTATATTTCATATATGTTAAATTTTTAAAATATTGGGGCCCGAAAAAAAAATTGCATAAGGGTTAAATGGTTTAATTTAAAATTTACTGAGACAGTCTGATATATATATATATATATTACATATATATATTACATATATGTTAAATATTTATAATATGTGGGCCCGAAAAAAAATGCATGGGGAGAGGGGGCGTTTTAATAAGTTTTGCCTAGGGCGTTAATTGACCTGGCGCCGGCACTGCATATACGATACCTTTGACCAATCAACATTGTTTATTTCAGGCTTGTATTTTGTACAGAGAAAGACAGTTTGTTGACGCCGAACGTAATGCCAAAAAAGCTTGTGGCTTCAACGCCGCCGCTTTAGTGGTGGGCGTCATCGTATATTGCTTTCTATTAGTATGGTACTTCAGGTTCAGATAACCGACTTCGTGAGAATTGTGATCAATGTGTACCTAGGTACACGTTATTATTACAACTCAAGGCCAACGTGGCAGTACACACACACACACACAAACACATATATATATATATATATATATATATATATATATATATATATATATATATATATATATATATATATATATATATATATTTATACATACTTATATATATTTAAAACTCTTAAAATTTACAATAGGCGTATTTTAATAAACATTTGGATTATGCTTGTGTTATATATTTTTATTAATTTAATTAAAATTGTAGCATTTACATTTTGTTATTATGACTGCTTACCTTCCTCGATGACCAGGCAATTTAAACTGCAATTTTTTACAATTGAATAGAATGGTTGTTGTTGTTGTTCAGTTTTTTTTATGTTTCTTTTTTATGTCAGTTGCTTGTGTTTTGTTAAAAAAGAAAATCCAGATTGAAAATGTCTGTATCATACGCAGGTTCGAACATTAGTCAATACTCGTAACAGCCTTCATGGGACGGTGGCGTCGGATTTTAGGGCATACATCTGCTAACCGAAAGTCTCGAGTTCGATTCTCGGGTTCAAGTCCTTCTAAGTCTCATAATTCACCTAACTGGCTTACAATGAATAATGTGTAGGCGGCTGGGCATAGTGCTGACCACTCTATCCCTTTATATGCCGAGGTCACTGAAATAGGTGAACACTACTTCGCCTATCTCAAGATCGTCTTGTTTGATAGGGTACTTTTTAAAAATAAGTCTTTATAACAACAAGGTTATAAAAGCACTCTTTTGATTAAGTGTGTTTTATTTTCATAATTTATAATTATGTATTTAAAGCTTTTTAATACACTTTTTTTTATAGATTTCTTTGTTTACTACTTCTTAATACTTATAAAATTCAAAATATACATTCTTAGCCGATATTTTAGTTTTTTTTTTTTAAAAAAATTGATACTCTCCTTTTTCCAACCAGATTTTTTCTTTAAAAAGCATTCTTTAAACAATTACATTCATTATTAATAATTTCCGACTTGCAAGTGGATTGCACACACATTAAACTTATTTGCTTCAAAATCCTTTCAATAGCTTGCGATCTTTACTCAAAAGAAAATCATATGACCCTCACTTTCTTATAGATTTGGCTCTCTGATGTTAACCATTCGTTGACACATCATATCCCCGAAGAGATGCCTGGAAGAAACACTGGACACAACTTATTTCAATACACTGACCGATCAAGCGATCCGTATTACACAATGCTACCATCAAACATTTTGCAACCGTAATCCTTTTATCAATTACTAATGACAACTTAATATCTAATTACATTGTAAAATTATATATTATTTCATTGTCATCAGAGACTAATTTACCTGTAATATCAATGCAATGAAATTGGGTCAAAATAAATTACAAAATTTCGACTTGCAAAAATACGAACTATAATTTGTAATTGTTTTAAAATGGAAAAATGAGACGTTAAGAACTGGAGTTTCGTTATTTAACATAGCTGGAAGTATTTAACACTTTTCGTTTACTTGCGTCGTAACTTAACTCTAGGCTGTTTGGCCAGAAATACGATACGGTATACTTGGATAAAGTAAAGTGAAGCTTTATACGCTGAACTTCCGGGTTCAAATTATATAAACACACTGAGCGTGTTAAATAAAGTCATTCAAGCGTTAACGTAGTGTTGAATTCAGAAATTCTGAAATGCTGATAAGCATAAAATAATACAACTAAATGGCGGCGTATGCTACGTCGCGGGTGAGCTCGTATTTTTTAAATTCAGTTATATTTAAGTAACTTTCAATTGAAAGGTATTTAATTTAACCATTGACGATATTAAAACGGATCAATGGAAAGGCTTTAAAAATGAGTTGACCACTATTTCCTTCGTATAAAAAAAGAACTTTATATATTAGTTGTTATATATTGCTTATGTATATATTCGTTTAATTCAATTTGATAATTTTACATTTGTTATAATTGATATTTCTCTATTTCTTCCATGACCTAAAAATTAAAAACTCTACTGTTTACAATTACATACAATGTGTTATTTTAAACTTTCATTTTGTATTAATAAAACGAGATTGATCTCCCCTAAACTTTCTCAAAAATTCTTCGATAACACTAAAGGGGATGGCAAATCCTGTTCAATAGGGCTATAGAAATTTTTAAATCAATTTTTTAATTCTAATTTTTTAAATAGAAAAGAACAGCGAGAGAAAAAAAAAGAATTTCGCACCAAATGAACAGCAAACAATGTATATAATAGTGCGGAAAATAAGAAGGGCATACTTTATTTAGAAACGTTGATTAATTTTTAAAAAGTTAATATATCATCTAATTAATTATTATTTTATCTCACTATTTTTTGTCTTCTTGACCTACGTAAAAAGTTTGAAATTAATCAGCCTGGTAAAAGTGCTCAAAATTTTGCTCGTAAGTTTCCGCCCTTGACGGAAACCATATAGTTTGATAAATCCTTATGGTTTTTTTTAGAAATCGGAAATAGCGAAAAATACTACTTCAAAAATACTAATAAAAAATCAATCATACTTTAGCATAAGCCAGAGAATAAGATCGTTTACTTATACATGAAATCTCGTCTACCCATCTGCAACAAGAGTTAAGTTATATGCTTTTTTCCAACTGTAAAAGGTCGAGATTTGTGAAAATCGCGATTTCGATTGCTCGCATATTTATAATAGGCCATACTTTCTTCATTCTCGAAAAAAGTAAAAAGTAGACCGAAATATCTGCACCGTACGCAAGGTGAAGCAATAATTTATTAACATAAAAGCCTTCACAGTAACAAATATAAATGGTACATTTTTAGCAAGCAACTCTGTTACTAAAATGAGAACAGTGTTTTACTCTTTCATATTATCACATGTTATTATAATCATTATTTTAAATTTATTTGTTTATTTTTATTGTTTTCTATTTCTTGTAATTAGAGATTTTTAAAATTCCATTTAATGTAAATTCTTAGTCGATATTTATGTTTTTTAACAATTAACACTATGTTTTTTTCAGTATGTTCTTCTAAAAATACTTTAAATAATTTAAAAATGTATTAATTATTTCCGACTTTATTAAGTCGATTTGACACGCGGTTAAAATATGTAATTTCAAAGCCGGATCTGCACTCTAAACAACAGTTATCTGCCCCTTATCTACGAGCATTGTCGACTCGATGATGTCAAAAAATCCGTTGAAAGAATTCCTGTCATGACAGTCCCTGAGTGACAGAGCATCCGTTGACACAATTCATGTCAGTCCTTGACTGACCGAGCATCCGTTATACTTAATCCTGCTATCATACATTTCAATTTAACACAGCAATTAATAATTCGATTGTTAATGACTAGTTTAATATCTAATTACATTGAAAATTAGATATTATTGCGTTGTCGTCAGAAAATTATTCATCTGAAATATCACTGCATACGAATTGGGTCAAGGTTTAAGTCACAGGATGTCATCAAACACCCGCCCGCAGAGAGAAATGTTGACATAGCCTACGTTACAAATTTGCATTAACATCTTCGTGTTTGAATAATTCTATTTAAAAATCTAAATATAATTTGTAATCCCCACTCCGGAAAAAGGAGACATGGTTAGTGGGGTTTCTCTATAAAGCATGGCAGAAAATATACATCACCTGCCGCCGCCTTGTATCGTAACTGAAACCGTATAACCCTTTTTGCCTGGAAAACGATTGGACCCACTTGGCTAAAATGAAGGGATACTTCCGGGTTTAATTTAAATAAACTCATTCAAGCGTGTTAAATAAACTCACTCAAGCGATAACTAAAACAGGACTATTTATTGAAACGACATGCTTGGCAAAGGCGTTAAGATGGAGAACACAAAACTATTTTTAAAGATTCAATAATACTTTATTAAATTTTAATTGAAGGTTATTTATTTTAAACATGGGACGGTTTTGGCCAAAGCGGTAGAGAGCTAGGCTGCTAACCGAAATCCTCGAGTTCGAATCCGGATCCAAGCCAATTAAACGTCACCGTCCACCCAGCTCTGATAGGTACCTAACAAATGTCAGGTAAGTAAAGGTGGCTGGTCAAAGTGCTGACTCTTCCCGGGGACAAACTTTCAAATTTCGATTTGCATCACCCCCCCCCCCCCCGCTCAAACTTTCGATTTGCACCCCACCCTCCATCAAATTTTTCTCTATATATTTTTACTATTTTTTGCCTTGGTGTCACCCCCCTAAATGGTGTCCGCACCCCCGTCCCCCCCCCTCGCTACGTCTCTGCCCCACATGTGTCTCTAGCTCTCTATATTTTATTGTAATCTTAAATGCCATCTAGATCTACCACTTAACCAGCCCACCGAGACATATTTCTCAGACCGCCCCTCTGATCAGCGTGTTATGTAACACATTAAACGTATGAGTCTACTAAAAACTTATTGAACCAAGACGTAACAACCAGTGATCCAAAGAGTAAGGCACCAGTTGGAGGGCTCAGACGATTCATGTGTAGACGTGTACATAAATAGTGTACAAAACATTTGCTAGAGATCTCAGCCTCGACTAATGTAGATGTGTACATGAAATGTGTACAAAGCATTTGCTAGAGATCTTAGCCCAGCATCATGCAGATGTGTACATGAATTGTGTACATGACTTAGGACACATGCTAGAGATATTAGCCCAGCACAGAGGCGTAGCGAAAGGGGGCAGGGGGGTACATATGTCCCCGGGCGCCGACTTTAGGGGGCGCCAAAATGGGTTGTAAAAACACATTAAAACATTATTTTAGCTTCATTTTTGCATTATAAATATAAAAAATATATGAGGGGGGTGCAAATAGAAAGTCTGGGGGAAGGGGGTGCAAATCGAAAGTTCGAGGGGGGGGGGTGCAAACTGAAAATTGAAAGGTTGATCCCGAGGGGGCGCCAAATTGAAAGTTTGGAAGGGTCGCTACGCTTCTGCCAGCATCAGGTAGATGTGCACATGAGCTGTGTACATGCCATAGAGCACCTGTTAGAAATCTCGTTAACTTGTTACTAGTTAAAACTCGTAATAATTCCTCTGATTAAAATCTAAACTACTATTTTCTTAGAGTAAAACATCAACAGCGTTAGGAAAGTAAAGCCAAACCCCTTTAAGGTACCACACCCACCGTCCCGTTTTCAAACCTCACAGCCAACAATCGAATGTTACCTCTACAGCTGTATGTTAAAATCAACGAACTGAATTGCTGTTTATATCTTTTACTGTTCACAATTCAATTATAACTGGCTTAGTTGATATCGTTTTTTTAAAAGTAAAAATGTCCGACATTCTAAAATATATGAAAGGCTTTCTAACAAGCGCTACAGATGACATCCCTTTTTAACCTCTCGCTAATGTGATGCAAGTCAAATAACGTATTGAAGTCAGGCCGTCGGTGTAACAGGTTGTAACATAGACAGTCACCATCATCCGCCACCATCCTTGCTACACGCACGTACAAGGAAACCTCACAAACGCGACGTTAAACCCAGTATGTGGTAATTATAAGCAGGCTATGGTAAGTGGGGTTGGGGGACGGGGGATTAATATGATGTTGTTTATTAGAGGAAGATAATTATGCAAGGCAGAAGCGTGCGTTTTTAGACGATAGAAGCAGTGGGGTGGAGGGGGGGGGGGGAAGTCTGATTTAAAAACGTGACTTCATTTATTGATAACACATAGTTAGTATAATGAGATCTGGGAAATTTACGATAAATTGAACTAAAATATAAATAAGATTTCACCATCAGGGATTGGAAAATTGGTCGGTTGGTCGGTTGGTTAAGCTCATGGTTGCTGAACCGATAAGTCTCGAGTTCGAACCCCCGGGTAGATGAGGCTCGATAGCTGGGGACAGCCACTCATGTAGGAGAGACTATTTCAAAATCAAACAACTGCTGCCTTGAAGTTTGTTCTTGGTTGGACAAAGGCTATGAAACCAAATCCAAAAAGAGAAAAGCAGGCTGAACGGCACAACCAGTTGACACGTATACTTAATTGTGTTGGGGAGGAATCTCTTTCAACATTACAATTAAGAACAAACAAAAGAAGAAGATGACATTGTGACTACCCATGGCAAGAAACGAAAACGACCGAGGAAATACTTACAGGGCTTGGAAGTTTACGGTCTCGAAATCTACGAGCTGGCAAGTACGTGAACGAGAAGTTGTGACCTACTTACAAGCCCTATACTTATCTATCATTCCGAAATTTTCCATGACCCCCTGGCGACGAGGGTGCGCTGCCTTTCATCTATCCGCTGGGAACAGGAACTAAAAATATACCCCGGGAAACTCCAAAGTCTAATTGAAATGGAGAAATGCAACGCCTAGCTGTTGTATAGAACGAACTAGTTATGTTTGCCCAATATAATTTTGGAACTGAATAACGAAGAGTACGCCCTTTGAGACGCATTGATACCAAAGGCGTAGCGATGGGGGCAGGGGGTACATATGTCCACGGGCGCCGACTTTAGGGGGCGCCATAATAGGTTGTAAAAACAAATTAAAATGTCATTTTAGCTGCATTTTTGCATTATAAATAGTTTGAGGGAGGGGGGTGCAAATCGAAAGTTTGAGGGGAAGGGGTGAAAATCAAAAGGTTGAGTTTGGGTGCAAATTGAGAATTTACTCCCGAAGAGGGCGCCAAATTGAATGTTTGTCCCCGGGCGCCGGGAAGGGTCGCTACTCATCTGATTGATGCAGAATCTTTGACAGGTAAAATTTTCATGTCTGTTTACACACAGAAACACATGTGCGGTTCGGATTTTGGATTTTGTACTATTCTGCAAACTAACGTAAATTTTAAAATTTACCAGCGATTACAAAGTAACTTGAAATTAATTTGAGACGTAAAGTATACATACACCAAATATAATCATGACCTTGAACTCTCTGGATCAGGTATAATTTGGTTGGTTAGTTGGAAGTGTTTGTTGGGTAAAAAAAAACCCTGAAGTTTAAAGATCTGAATACAAGGCCTAGTGTTTAAATATTTGCACCCGCCGTCACGTGATCCGGCCTTCATCTGATGTGGCCATTAACTGTATCTTGTTAAACAACTCAACATTTCATTTACAAAAAGGACGGATAAAAAGTATAACTAGTGTTTTTTTTTAATAACGTAAGTACATAACCGTTTTTTTTTAAAATTACTTTGTATATGCTACCTGATTATAAAAATACGAGAATAAGGGGGTCATCCATATATGACGTCACGTTTTTTAATGATTATTTTTTACCTCCACCCCACATCGTCACAAAAAGCCAGACCCCATTCCCTGAATTAACGTCCCACATCAATCTACATCCCCTCACAATTGAAGATTCTTGTTAAAAAAATGTCTTAAACTTTGCACCTATTTTATCCTAAATTATCCTAAATTAATAAATTTATAAGGTTTTGTTACTAAGGTTATTTCTAGAAATGGAATATAAAATGGAAACATACCAATGCAGAAAATACACGGATACGACATCAGCTTATTTTTTTTTATTCGCCTACTGTAAATTTTAGTGATTTTATACTCAGGGTTAGAAGACAACAAACGACTACTATGGATTCGACGTCTCTAGACTTTACACATTCACCGGTAGACAACAGATTAGTTGGGGATGTCAGCAGTTATCAGCAGTTAGAACTTGACATGATAGAAATTCGTCGTCAGAGAGAAATAAACATGGTACGTTTGAAAATATATTATAATAAAATTTAACCATTAGCGTTAAAGGTATGTATACTAAACTTAGTCCTTACACCTCGTATACCATCCACAGGCCAAAAAAGAAGCAGCAGATTTGGACCAGAGTTTTATTCTCGATAAACTGGCCGAGGTTGAACCAGTAGCAGTGACATTCTATGATAAAGCTACAGGAGTAAGTAAATAACATTTTGTATTTATTTCACCGTTGTCAGAATGTTACCGATGCAAATAGATTTTTAAAATGACAATCTCAGTTCTTGAAGTCATATGGTGATTTGATTTAACTTATGCTGGTATTTTAAATATGCGATCCACAAGACTTTCTAGCAAACACTCAGTACCTTATACAAAAACGTAAGGACTTTTAAAAAATTAACTGTATATACAGACTCATATATATATATGTATATATATATATATGTATATATATATATATATATATATATATATATATATATATATATATATATATTTGTGTGTGTGTGTATTGTAACAACGTGTATACGCCAATAGTTGTTGTTGTGAGTTCATTCATGAAAGAATACGACTAACAGTTCTTTAACTTTCAACTTTATTTACATTAATAGATCCACAAGAAATAAGAATGATAAATCCATAGTAGAATAACGACAATCAAAGTACAATCCAGAAACAGAGTGACGTGGTGACGGCTTACATTCTTCTACACAGACACCCTTAGTCCACCTTACTCTCCCCTTTTATACACTTCATTCTCTCCACTTAGTGAGCTCAGTGAGCGATCTCACAAAAAGCATTGAAAAACATGATTAGTCGCTCACACAGTCCTTCCGTTGGCCAGGTACTCGCTACTTTCATACCAGATCATTCTAAATACAATATAAATAAACAATACCCAAAATACAGTGTTACACACACACACACAAACATATATATATATATATATATATATATATATATATATATATATATATATATATATATATACATATATATATATATATATATATATATATATATATATATAAGTAGATAAATATAACAAATGATTAAACAACTAAAATAAAGGAACAAACACGAATAAGCAAGCATACCAAAAGGTATACAAATTTTACAAACTCACAACCAAGCACACGAACACATAAGCACATACAAACGTGATATTTTTATGTCTGCAAACAATAGTCAATGATATAATTTGTCCTGGGGATCAGTTGATCAAAGATATTTAATATTTATTCCTGATCTATTTATCCGAGAGATGTTTTTTATGATATTTTGTCTGAGATCACTTTTCCTGAGATAACATGTCATGAAACCACACACACACACACACACACATATATATATATATATATATATATATATATATATATATATATATATATATATATATATATATATATATATATATATATATATATATATCTATATCTATATATATATATATATCTATATTTGTATATATATATATATATATATATATATATATATATATATATATATATATATATATATATAATTATATATATATATTCGACAGATTGAATTTGATGCTGATGGCAATGAAATATCCAGAACAGAGCAAGAATTTGACAGCGCGGAGGGTCTGTATGCTACTGGTCCGTCGCACTTTGACCCTAATCAACAATGGGGAACCCCCTATGGAGGCGACTCCTACGGAGCTTCACCTTTCAATACACAAGATGCTATAAGCAGGCAACAAGATGCTGCACACAATTCACACAGCATTCCAATTAAAGCTGAGGTGTGTTCAACTAATCAACATGTGTATCTTCACCAACCAATGAATCATCCTGTGAATCAACCGATATATCAACCAGTTAATCAACCAACGAAACAACATGGGAATCAACAGGCTTGTCAACCCGTGCTCCAACCAGTTAACCAACCCATGTATCCACACATGAACCAATGGAACGCCTCACAATATCCACAGAACTTAACACGCCAACCCTACAACAACCAGACGAACGTGTGGTCGACCAACCAGACTAATATGATGATCACGCAACAACCCCTTTCTCTAACAAGCCAACCCACTTATTACGGACAACCACCAGTTTTTGACACAAATCAGGTAATCACAACGTGAACACATACAATTCACATTTGTAACATCAGCTTTCTCTTCTCCACTACCACATTTAGTCATAAATTAGTTTGAAACGATTTGAAACATACATTTGTAGTCAATACAGAGGCGTCGCGAGGCGGGGGCGGGGAGTGTGGACCGTGCCGTGTGACACCAATGTTTAATTAGAGTTAAAAAATATTTTAAGTACATAATGATAATCGCGACAAGAGAGGTGGGCGACACCATGACGTAAACATGCAAAATATAGAGAAAACAATGCTACACCCAGCTGTATTAACAAACGACTATAGAGAAACATCATTAGTATTAAATGTGAATACGTTAACGCTTTTACTCGGGGGGCGGGGGGGGGGGGGATGTCGACACAAACTGCAAAATATACAAAATACACAGAGAAAAAAAAAGGTGGTTGGGGTGACACCATGAGATGCCGTGCCGGAGTCATTATATCTTTTGGCCCTTATAAACGTGTATGGTAATACAATATCTAGTGCACGGGTTCCCAACCTGGGGGTCTTTCAGGGGGGTCGCCAACTGGTATACTAAACCTTAGTAATTTGAAACAAAACATAAATATTTAGAAGAATTTTTGAAATTCGGCTTCATTAACATCACTGGAAATTTAATAGAGAAGAAACAAAGCGCACTGTACACAGTTGTTCTCAGTCACGAATCGATGAAATATTCAAAACTAAATCGTCATTTGAGACTAGTCATTCGGAACACACCAAAAAATATATGGAGTTCTTTCGTCGGTAAGAAGCTAGTTGCAAACGCCAGAAACTTGATCGAACAGGAAGTTTTCACCAGCATTAGTGCAAGCATCAAATGAAGTCGCGATAGAATGTGCCAAGCAAAAAAAAAAAAAAACAATAGGAGAAAATCTCATCAAACGCTGCAAGTACGTAAATGTTAAATAACACATTTTTATTGAAATTAAGCTTTCACCATTGTTTGCTTTTCAAGTTGATAAATCAACAGACGTGAGTTCGCGTTTGCAGTTGCTAGTCTGTGTCTATATTCATGCGGATGATAGCAAAGAAGAGTTGCTCTTTTGTGAAGATAGCATGGAAAAAATAAATACCTTTTTTGAAAGTGGATGATTAAAATGGGTTAAAAAGGCTGTGGTGGTTTGTACGTATGGCGCGCCATCTATGTTTAACTCAAAATCGGGCTTTCAGAAAACAGAAAAGATTTAGCTCCCTAACCACTGCCCTAACCAATCGACATCAAGAGTCAATTGCTAGTATAAGTCATAAATTATATAAAATCTGGAGCCTTCAAAAAACTGAGCAAAAACATTAATATAGATCACGAGGTTCTGCTCTGCTACACTACAGTACGCTGGCTGTCAAACGAAATGTTGTAAATTGTGTTTTTGAATTGAAATCTTAAATCAAATTGTTCTTGGAAGTGCAAAGGAAACAAGACTTTTAGGTATACTTAAAACGGCATAGAGTGGTTGGAGAAAGTATCATACCTAGTAAATGTGTTCGAACATCAAGATAAGCTTAACCTGAAGCTTCAGGGAAAATGAACGAATATTATAACTTTCCATGATATTCTCGGGGCATTTTTATCAAAACTGCAAAATCGGTAAAGAAAATAAATCTTGGAAATATTGTAAATTTGAGAAACTCTACGGTGTGGTAGATGAATCTGATTGTGAGATAATTAAAATTTTGAAAGAAGCGATTTCTGTGCATCTTGAATCTCTTGAAAACGAACTGCATCGCTGTTTCTCTGAGCTGCAAAAAGAAGAATCTGCATTTACGCATTACCCATTCTCTTCTTCCCTTGATGTTGCCAGCATTCCCTATGTATTACAAGATGAATTCTTTAATTTGCAGAATGATTCCGAGTAAGATGAAAAACTGCAGACACAATTTTGGTGTAGTATTCACCATTCCTACCCAAACGTAAAATTGATTGACTTTTCGAGAATATATTTTCATCACTATACTTCGATTAAAAACAAAATTAAGATAATTATAATGACATAGGTTGGCGTTAACAAAAAAAAATTAATTAAAAAGTTAACCACGAAGGTTTAGTGAATAGTATGCACTTTTACTCATGCTATTAAAACAGTTATCAAAAGTAGTTCGTATTGAAAGTCTACTAGAAAATCTTATTTTAGTGCTTATTAATTTCCATACTAATTTCGGCTTTTTAATTCTATGGGGGTCGCGGGTCACTTACTTTTTATAAAAGGGGGTCGCCATTCGAAAAAGGTTGGGAACCACTGATCTAGTGAAACAAAATAATTACAGGAAAAATTGTTCAAATAATATATTACCTATATATATATATATATATATATATATATATATATATATATATATATATATATATATATATATATATATATAAAATGAATTTTTGTTTCGTCCGGGGTGGGAGGGGGGGGGGGGGTTGGGCGTTCTCGGGGAAAGGGTCCCTGACCCCTTCCCCTTAAAAAATAATGTAGGCAGCTGGCGGAAATAGGGGGGGGGGTGGTGAAGGGTGATGGGAGATAACTGGAAAGTGATGAAACAGGAAATGTCAGGTAAATGTAGCTTTACAGTTATATTAGACAACGTATACAAACTGCAACTGATGCTTGAATTGAGAATTGGATGTTCTCGTATGAGATCTAGGATTAATAGAATTATACTTTCTCTTCAGGCTGCGGTGAGTTTTTATTTTGTAATGCCATCGTCATTAAATAGAATATTTGTTTGTATTTCAGGATGTTATGCGGACCGAGTCGTATGGCTGCTACATAGCAATCAGCATCCTTACTATCGTGTTCTGTTGCCTCCCCTTCGGCATCATTGGCTTACGTTTATCAATAAATGTAAGTGATTTATTGGTGTGCTTTCTGTTTACAATGGAGTGAATTCATGCAATGGTTACTGTTTATAATGAACTTAAAATAGTAGTAATGCACTTTAAATTTTTTATTCATTACAATGTAAATATTATTAAGATTATATAATAGATAAAAATATAACTGAATACGCAGATATGCAGTTGTTTTTTTTTTGTGTTTTTTTAACACGTACATCTACGTGTACCCGTATGTGTATGTGTATGTGCATCTGCATGAGTAGTGACAGGGGCATGTGCAAGGTTAAGCAATGGGTAGATATGCTATAGTTATGGTGTATTGGTATGTGTATGTGGGTGTGCTTGTGGATTGGTGTGTATGCAATGAAACATTTTAAAATACCGTACTGTATCCAAGTGAATATAGGATACCTTTGATCACTCAGCATTGTGTGTTCCAGGCTTGTATTTTGTACAGAGATAGACAGTTTGTCGACGCCCAAAATAGTGCCAAAACAGCTTGCAGATTCAACATCTCCGCTTTTGTGATGGGCGTCATTTTATACTGCTCAATGTTAGTATGGTATTTCAGGTATAGATAACTGACTTCGTGAGAATTGTGATAAATGTGTACTGAGGTACACGTTAAAATTATAATTCAGGTCCAACGTGGCAGTAGAATATATATATATTTAATTAATCATCAAATGGAACTGGCAAAAAAGCATTTTCAGACTGCACATTATACAATTTTTTGTCACCCGGTTCGGTCTGCACTCCCTGCCCCGCCCTCGCTACGCCGCCGCTATATATATATATATATATATATATATATATATATATATATATATATATATATATATATATATATATATATATATATATATATATATATATATATATATATATATATATATATATATACATATATAATAGTATATATATATTATAGTATATATATATTATAGTATATATATAATAGTATGTATATATTATAGTATATATATATTATAGTATATATATATATAATAGTATATATATATATATAATAGTATATATATATATATATATATATATATATATATATATATATATATATATATATATACATATATATATATTTATATGTATATACATAACTCTTAAAATTTACAGTGGGCTTATTTCAATAAATTGGTTAATGCTTGCCTTATATATTTAAATTCATTTAATTCATATAATTCAATTTGTTGCATTTACATTTTGTTATTATGACTGTTTACCTACTTCAATGACCAGGCAATGTAAACTGCAATTTTTATAATTGAATAGAATGTTTGCTGTTTTTTATTAATTTAAAAAAAATTAGTTGCTTTTGTTTTGTTAGAAAAGAAAATTCAGACTGAAAATTTCTGTATCACACGCAGGGTCTAACATAAGTCAATACTCGTAACAGCCTTAATGGGACGGTGGCGTCGGATGGTAGAGCATACATCTGCTAACAGAAAGGCTCGAGTTCGAATCTCGGGTTCAAGTCCTTCGAAGTGTCATAATTCACCTAACTGGCTTACGCTGAGGAATGTGTAGGCGGCTGGGCATAGTGCTGACCACTCTATCCCTTTATATGCCGAGGTCACTGAAATAGGTGAAATCTACTTCGCCTACCTAAAACCCGACATGTTTTATTTGGTAATTTAAAAAAAAAAATCTTTACAACTAGGTTACAAAAGCACTCTTTTGATAAAGTGTGTTTTGTTTTCATAATCAATGATTGTGTATTTTAAAGATTTTTATTAAACGTTATGTTTTCCTTTAGATTCTTTGTTTATTACTTCTTATTACTTATAAATTTCAAAATATACATTCTTAGCCGATATTTTAGTTTTTCAAAAACAATTAATACTTTTTTCCAATCAGTTTTTTTTTTAAAATTTTAAACAATTAAAATTATTATTATTCATTTCCGACTTGTAAATAGATTACACACACATTAAAATTATTTGCTTCAAAAACCTTTCAGTAGCTTGCGATCTTTACTCAAAAGAAAATCATCTGACCCTCACGTTATTATATATAGATTCAGCTCTCAGATGTTAACCATTCGTTGACACAACCAGTGTTTCTTTCAGACTTTTTTCTCCGGGGGGAGGGGGGGGGCACTTGCTATTTACGGGGGGGGGGGAGGGGGCGGATAACGGTTTCCAAGTGGGGGGGGGCGGACACTGGGAAAAGTATATGTTTTCTATATAAATTCCATTTCGTTCAGGGGGAAGGGAGCGGTGCTTCCCTGAAGAAATGCATGGAAGAAACACTGGACACAACTAATTCAATACACGGACCGATCAAGCGATCCGTATACACAACCCTACCATCAAACATTTTGCAACCGTAAACATTTTATCAATTACTAATGACAACTTAATATCTAATTACATTGTAAAATTAGATATTCTTGCATTCTCATCAGAGACTAATTTACCTGTAATATTAATGCAATTAAATTGGGTCAAAATCAGTAACAAAATTTCGTCACATCCTCTCGAGAGACAAAAATTTCTACCAACAAAAATACGAACTATAATTTGTAATTGTTTTAAAATGGAAAAACGAGACTTTAGGAACTGGATTTTTGTTATTTAATATGACTGGAAGTATTCAACACTTCGTTTACTTGCATCGTAGCTTAACTCTAGGCTGTATGGCCAGACTACGATACGGTTCACTTGGCTAAAATAAAGTGAAGCTTCATACGCTGAGCTAACTGTACCCCCAGGCAACTTCCGGGTTCAATTTATATAAACACACTCTAGCGTGTTGAATAAACTCATTCAAGCGTTAACGAAAACAAGGTTGTTGCTGGAAAACCAGTTAGGTAGGACACATATTTGTTTTTTTTTTTTAAATTCAGTTATATTTAAGTAACTTTCAATTGAAAGTTATTTACTTTAAACATTGACGATATTAAAACAGATCAATGAATAGACTTTAAAAGATGAGTTGACCACTATTTCTTTTGAAACGTGATATTTTTTCTATAAAGTTGCGACTGAGAGGTATGTATAAGTATGGCATTCATCCATTTGTGACTAACCACCAATATTTGAAACATTTTACAATGTAGTAATTAAATGGTTACTTGAGATTGAACCTTAAAAAAAACGCATCTATGTTTTAGTATTTATCAAACAAATTTAATTTTTTTGTGATGATCGAAATGTGCGTACTTTAACTTATTAACTATCCCCTTACGGAAACTGTTTTACAGCCTTTTGTAGCGAATGGCTGCATATTTACCCCTCTTCCACCCACTCCCGCCTATACTTCGTATATCTATCTCCTCCCCATACCCAGTGGCGTAGGCAGGGGGGGGGCATGGACCCCTCTGTAAAATCAAATGTATTGTCATAATACCACTGCTACTTATTTAAATCTATTTCTGAATCAGTAAACATGTATAATTGAATATGTATGTTTGGAACAGTCATCTAAAAACTGACGCTATGTTCACTCTGAGTTGCTTAGTTTCCCCGCCCCTCCACCTCAACACAACAATTGTGTAGAGAGATAATTAATGTCACACCTAGGTATACGCTGGGTTGGATAAATGACCTAAAGTGACAGGACAGTGGTGAATGAAGTTGACCCCCCCCCCCCCCACACACACACAACACACCCCGAACTGATCTGTTAAGTACATTTGGGAGAATGCGTAATGAAAGACCGATACTTTAGTTAAATGTAGACTATTATTCAGAATGTTTTAACTTTTATATTGAAAAGCGTGGTTTTATACCAATTCTCATTCTGAAAAATTTCATTATGTTGTAATACTTTAGCATTTATGACGATAATATTTTTAATTCTGATTGTAGACAACATATTTTTTTGTAAAAACGAAAAGTTTAAGCTACCTTATTACATTCTAAAGTAATTATTGATTTGTTTTGACATTTATAATTAAATGTGTAGACATACACATATTTATATTAAGAGAATGATTAATTCCTCTACTTTGCTTGTCATAACTAATGTCGCAAGAATTATTATGTATTTTTACTTTCTCGTATATACGAAGTATAGAGAAAGTATTGTAATCGTGCAAAAAAAAAATCGAGATTTTTACAAATCTCGACGTTTTACACCTCACAGATACGGAAAAACATAATTTTGCAATCTTGTCCGTATGTCTGTGTGTCTGTGTGTCTGTCTCTGTGTGTGTGTGTGTGTGTGTGTGTGTGTGTGTGTCTAAACACGATAACTTGTGTACAGTTACAGTTAGGTTGATGAAATTTCATATATAAGTATTTTATCAAAATCGTAGATCCATATCAACTTTTGAGCGATTTCCGATAACCGGAAGTGGTACTTTTTCTACTTTGAATTTTTCAAAAGCCTATAACTTGAGTACTATTTCAGATAGATAAATGAAATTTCACCTGTAAGTTAAAGATCTAATTCTCTACCTTCTGTCAAATTTTGAGTAGTTTCCGTTGACGGGAAGTACTAATTTACGCTATTTCCGATTTCTCAAAAACGCATCTAAATTTATAAAGTACTAATAATATTGCGCACCATTATGAACATCTTTATTCGGCGTTCGCTTGGTGCGCAATACTTTTTTCTATGAGATTCTATTCTATTTTAAAAAGTTTAAGTATTTAAAATGGATAAAAAATCATAACTAGATCTATATCCCGAGTTCCCATCCCCTGTTGTTTTATATAAGAATATTCGAGAAAGTTTAGGGGAGATCACTCCCGGTTTATTTGTTTTGTCGGCCTATATTGCGTGTTTTTTTCTTATTTCTTAAGAGTGCTACTTTTAATTTATTTTACATCATAGCGAAGCAATGACACACAGTTAGTATATATATATATATATATATGTATATATATATATATATATATATATATATATATATATATACATAAATTATATATATATATATATATATATATATATATATATATATATATATATATATATATATATATATATATATATATATATATATATATATATAAATAGACCTATATATATATATATATATATATATATATATATATATATATATATATATATATATATATATATATATATATATGATGGAACGAATTTGAACCAACCCCCCCCCCCCCCATGAGACGATCCTGGCTACGCCACTCCCCATACCGACTCCGCCTCAAGCTCTCTTGATTTTAATTTTTGTCTCTAGCTCTCTTGATTTTAATTTTTGTCTCTAGCTCTCTTGATTTTAATATTTGTTAAATCCTATCTCCCACATAATCAACCCTCAGGAATACATTTCTCAGACCTCTCATCTGATCATGGGGTTATGTAACAGATACACAACACAGCACACACTAGACCTCTCAGCAAAGCCTCGTGTACGTGTGTACATGGATAATGTACACGACACACAAGCTCGGCATCGCAGTCGAGTCTCTCTTGGTACATACGTAGCTGAGCGCTGTACACTGTACAGGTCACGTTTTAAATAATTCATGGAATAATCCTGTTCATCTATTCATGAGCTGTGTAAACGGCATGTTTACACAGCATCGAGTCTACAGATTTACACTATTCCATGTCTACAGCTTTACACATTCCCATGTCTACAGCTTTACACGTTCCCATGTACACATCTTTATACATTCCCATGTCTACAGCTTTACACATTCCCACGTACACATCTTTACACATTCCCATGTCTACAGTTTTACACATTCTCAGGTCTACAGATTTACACCTTCCCATGTCTACATATGTTCACCTTCCCAGGTTTACGGGTTTACCCATCCACAAGTCAACTTGACAACTTTACACGGTCAAACGCGTCATTTCTAAACACGCTAAATAATATTTCGGTGAAATGTGTTTAGGTTTTGGTTTCAAATGTATATTTTTCTATTTGGATACGTTACTTGCTTACATTGAGTATGGACTGTATAGTAAACACTTATATTACTAGTGCACTTTACTGTACGTACACATGCAAGGCATGCGTTTATTGACATCCTGTTTATACCCCATGCCTACCTGGCCAGTAGCAAGGTGACTAACTTTCCAAATGTGACCTACTTCGGATCATACGTGTGTTGTTTTAAAGGTCGATAATTGCATTATTTAAACCTCAGCCGGTAGGATGACGTATCAACGCAATACAGAGATAGAAAATTGTATCAATAATACTCACATAATAAACACATTGTCGCCGTCTGAAAGAGAAACATTATAGTACTAGAGATTAATTTAGGTTTTTGATTCGAAGGGTAGGGCGAAAAGCTTAAAGAAATCGTTATCTTGCAGTCTAGTATATTTTCAGGTATTTTATTAGAGGTTGGGGAGGTGGGGTTGGGGGTAGGGATGGTGGCGGTGGGGTTAGCGGAGGTGGGGGTAGGGATGGTAGAGGTGGGGTTGGTGGAGGTTGTGGTAGGGATGGTGGCGGTGGAGATTGTGGAGGGGGGTGTACGGAGGGTGGCGGTGGGGTTAGGGATGGTGGCGGTGGGGTTGGTGGAGGTGGGGGTGGGGGTAGGGATGGTGGAGGTAGCGGTGGGGTTGGTGGAGGTGGGGTAGGGATGGTGGCGGTGGGGTTGGTGGAGGTGGGGGTAGGGATGGTGGAGGTGGGGTTAGTGGAGGTGGGGTTAGTGGAGGTGGGGGTAGGGGTAGGGATGGTGGTGGTGGTGTTGGTGTTGGTGGAGGTGTGGGTAGGGATGGTGGTGGTGGTGTTGGTGTTGGTGGAGGTGGGGGTAGGGATGGTGGAGGTGGGGTTAGTGGAGGTGGGGCTAGGGATGGTAGAGGTGGGGTTGATGGAGGTGGGAAAAGGGGGAGGTGGTGGTGGTAGAGGCAAAGCAAGCTTTGACATGGATCGGGGGAGGCGCATTAAAAATATCTAGAACACGTGGTTACATTTTATATTTTCTATATACATTATATTTTTATTTAGTCCGGGTAGTGGCGGTGTACGAGCTCAAAAGAGGGGTAGGGGGGGGCGGTACGCAAAGAGATGCATGATACAAACCGACTGCTGGTTGACGTGTATTGGCTAATAAACATAGTACATTTACATCAACTAATACTGAGGTATTATTGCAAGTCATATTTTATCTTACTGGATGCAAAGTATGTCCGAGGACTGGCTAAAAAAGAAATTGTTTCGTTAGATTGTCAGTTTTTTCTTCGTGTACAAAACAAGTGAATAAATTGAATGTATGAAACGGGTGTATGAAATAAATGCATGAAACGAATGTATGAAACAAGTTTATGAACAGAGTTTCTTCCAGGCATCTCTTCGGGGGGGGGGGGGGGGCCTGCCCCCCCCCCTCGAAGAAAGTCTACCGCCCCCCCCCCCCCCCGAACGAAATAAAATTCATATAGAAAATATATACTTTTAACATTGTCCGCCTCCCCGAAAAAAGTCTACCGCCCCCCACCCCCCCCCCCCCGAAAATTTCAAGTGAGAAAAAAGTCTGGAAGAAACACTTTTTTTTCTAAATCGAATGTATAAATCAATGTATGAAACAAGTTAATGAAATGAATGTACTAAACAAGTGTATGAAACGAATGTATGAAACAAATGCATGAAACAAGTGTATGCAACAAGTGTATGAGACGAATGTATGAAACAAATGTATGAAACAAGTGTATGTGACGAATGTATAAAACGATTGTATAAAACGACTGTGCCCTTTAACACGCAGTGAAGCAGAACCGGTACCGGTTAAATTTTCAGTTCAATAAACAACACCTAAAAATAATAATGTTATTCATTGTAGTGTTTTCTTTTTCCAAACATTGAAAATTTTAAAATGTACCAATTAGTATAGAAAAATATATATAATTACTAGATACAGCATACAAAAAAAAAAAAAAACACATTTAATTTAATTGGTACCTTTACCAATGGGGTTGGGGATAATTAGGTCGGCTAGAAGGAAGCTTAACCTGACAAGGTGAATCTATTGTATAAGCTACATCCTGTTTTAAATATTACCACATATTCTTGATCTAACACGGTTGTGTCTTGGTAAACAGCTCGACATTTCTGTTATACAAAATGAACAAGTAGCATGACTACTTTGTAAAAAAACGGTAAGTAGTCTATATAATATAAAATAATTATACAGCCGATTTTAATTTTAAAAAAAAAACATAAAAATATTTTTATTACAGTGTGTAGTTTACGGATACACATGCGATGGGCTTTTGTTAGTTTAATTGAATACTGAAAGTGAAAGTTTATTTAAATGGAATTTCAACAGAAGTGAGAGCAAAATGTTCTGTCTATGATTGCATACAATAATTATTCATCATCGTCTTTCCCGTTAGTGCCCAATACTCATGGGTCAGATGAAGTAGAGTATATTTGTTGCAAATACCTCCTCAAACAATGGGATAATGTGGTCAGTACTATGTCCAGCCGCTTTTGTTTCCCTATCATGAGTTAAGTACCCATAAAAGCTGGGTGGACTGAGAGACGTTCGGCTGACTTATACCCTCGAGACTTACAGGTTAGCATGTTAGGGAGAGTAACGTGGCTGGGGATTATAGTCGGGTATTCAATGTAATTCGAAATTTTAATAAATCTCGATGTTTAACGCCTACCTGAGCTTGAAAAACTTAGTTTTGAAATTTCGGCTGTATTTCTGTTTTTTTGACACGATAACTTTAGCTATATCAAAGAAAAGTCACTAATACACACTATCGAAAACTAACTTCTACATCTACTTTTGAGTGATTTGATATAAACGGTTATGGTACTTACTTTTCTTCCTGTTTTTTAAAGACAATAACTTGAGTACAGTTTAAGTTAAATGGGCGATATTTTGCTAGTGAATATTACATTGTATATGCAGATTTAAGTTAAATTTTTAAAAATATCCAGTAAACTGAAATAGTACTTTACTGTATTTTGTAGGAACACAAAAGCAAGAGTAATGTTTTTATTTAGGTACACGACATTTCATACATAAATATAAGATCTTGTATTTGTAATACTTTCAACTTTTTAATGAACTCTAATATCCGGAAGTGGTACTTTACACTATTTCTAGTTTCTAAATCACTCTTAACATGAGTACTTTTTTAGGTAGATAGATGAATTTGCTAACGTAGGTATAAGATCTTATTCACTGGTTTCATCAATATAGTAAAGGATTTCTGTCTGGTCCACTTATGTAGTACTTTAGGCTATTTTTGGTTTCTCAAAACACATGAGGATGTATCCATCTTATGCTCTCTGTCTATCGGCCGTCTTGGACGGAAACTTGCTTGCAAAACTTTCGATCACTTCTACCGAACCTATGTCTTTCACACGTTTCATACTCGATGACAATGCATTGTGACATATATTGTTGCTTAATTAAATGTTTAGTTATACTTTTAAAAGTTAGCAAACATTGTCCACTCTTGTTTACATACATTGTTTGCGCTAACTTGGTGCACAATTCTTTTTTTAACGCGATTCTAATTCTATTGTACTTTAAATATTATTATGTAATCTACCAGAGAGTTTAGGAGAGATAACTCACGTTTTGTTACGTTATGTGTGAGGAACATATCGGGTACTTCGTCCACACACCACGGCCAAACTTTGATTCGTTTAATGTGGGAAGCTTTTGCTTTTGTTTTCACGAGTCCATGATATGAGGAATAAATAGCTATATATAGCTTGAAGAATAAACATAGGTCAGTGAGAACAATCAAAGCGCAACAACCTCGACAGTTGTGTCAGAGCAAAATATTTTGAGTTATGGATTTTTAAAGAAAACTTTCATACTGTTGTGAAACTCATATTTTATAAATAGATATTTATAAAGTTAGTTACCCTTTTGAAGGTTTGGCGGGCATTAGGGTAGACAATTTAGAGTTTATTTGCTTCTGTGCCATCGGTATACAGAGGGGAAATGTGGACAGTTATATGCTGCCTTTACGGAGTGGTCTAGCGGTAGAGAGCTGGACTGCTAACCCGTAAGTCTCGAGTCGGTAGAACTTCCCTGAGTCCACCCAACTCTGATGGGTACCTAACTCATGTTAGGGAGAGTAAAGGCGGCTGGGCATAGTGCTGACCACACTATCTCTTCATATGCCGAGGTCACAGAAACAAGTGAACTCTACCTCACTTGCCCTGTAGACCGTCAGGTTTGAAAAGGGAACTTTACTTTACCACACAAGAATCTGGTACCCAGATTATATACTAGCTGCAAAAGCCTGTCTGATGATAAGCACATTTTTCTTTAAAATATTATATTTTGTTTGAGTCTTAGTTTCTTAGTTACCAATTCATGCAAAAAACTTGGAATGATGAAATGATAAATTTGTTAACCAGATTTAATGATAGCAATAAAAACTGAGTGAATTATTAACTTATTCATGTTTATATCCATACAGATAGACAAACTTAGCCAATTATCGTATTAGCTGCACTTAACAGCACTCCCGCCATGTCCACCCCCAACCTTATGCCACCCCATCTTCACACACTAATTCCCTACCACCACATTTAAACATACCATTTTCATAGTCAATCAAATCAATATTGTTAAAATTTTCCCTAGTTAGTGTTTCGCTGTTTTTCAATTAATAGAATGTTGAAGCAGTTTGCCAAAAAAAAAAAAATAACTAAGACTGCAATATCTAACACACATATCTTCTTTTTAATCCTGTTCGTGCCCAAGACACAAGGGGCAGATGAAGTAGAGTTCATCTGATACATTCTTCTTCTTCTTCTTCTTCGTTCTTAATTATAAGATACATTGACCTCGGCATATTAAGGCATAGTGTGGTCAGCACTATGCCCAGCCTCTTTTTTTTTCCTTAACATGGGTGGACTCAGGGACGTTCCACAGATTTGAACCCGGATTCGAACTCTCGACTCTCGACCACGCCGACCCCAAAAAACACACTTATAAGCAAAGTTTTAAAAACAAATTCTCTCTTTTTTTTCAGAAAATACAAAACCAACTACAGTCAGATTTCACCACTAAACGTAACGTAAATAAGTGCTTACATAATTATTTTCAATCTAATAAGATTTGTCAGTGTTTATTACTACGTGTCAGTGTTTATCACTACGATCAAAGCTAGAAATGGAGCATGAAATGGGAAGATACCAATTTGGAGAACACGCTTATAGGACAGGAGGGAATTTCGAGTCGCCAACCGTACCGTCTGCTGATATGTACCTGGGAGGCAACATGCGATACCAAATGCCATCTAACACTACAGCGGATCATGCGTTTTTATACGGTTTTAGTTCACTAGCGCAGAACACAACCGATAGGTATGGAGAGACGTATCAACAGTCACATCGTGACCAGAACAGAACCGATAGGTATGAAGAGACGTATCAACAGTCACATCGTGACCAGAACACAACAGATAGGCGTGGCGACAGGTATCAACAGTCAAATCGTGACGTAAAAGAAATTCGCCGTCAGAGGGAAATAAACAAGGTACATTTTTTTACATTTACCACTTGATATCATTAGGCGTGGCCTAAGCGGTGGAGCGCTAGGCTGCTTATCCGAAGTTCTTGAATTTGAATCCGGGTTCAAATTAGCTCTTTTGGGTACCTAACTCATGTTAGGGAAAGTAAAGGCAACTGGGCAAAGTGCTTAACACAAATTCGCTTTAGTATGCCCATTGGATCGCTACGTTTTAAAGAGGATTCATTGCTTTTACTTGATATTAATGTAATGAAATATCTTTAAAATTAACAATTTCATTAGATCGAGTAAGTAACGGCGTAGGCAAATGTTAGAGCGTTTCGCTGCAACCCGAAGGTCTCGTGTTCGGATCTTAGTTAGAACGTGTGACTGATGGGTACCTGACTTACCATTGGGAAAGTAAAGCCGCTTTTGGTGAAGAGCTGACCATAGTATCCCTCTATAAGCAGAGGTAAAAAAAAACATATTAACTACTCCATGTACTCAATGGGGTGATAGTTCTGAAAAGGAACTATATTAACTTTCGTACTCTGTCGACAGGCCAAAAAAGAAGCAGCAGATTTGGACCAGAGTTTTATTCTCGAAAAACTGGCCGAAGTTGAACCAATAGCAGTGACATTTTACGATAAAGCTACAGGCGTAAGTACAAAAAAATAATTTAAGAAATTTTTTTTTAAAAATTAAAAAAATAATAATAGATTTTTTCCAATGTAAAACACTTTTAAAATATTTTACAAAAAGTAAAGTTTACATTTTTTCGTAACCTTATCAACTATTGCTGCTTACTGATATTTTGCGTTTGCTTATGTCGGTGCTTTTCGTTTATGAGCTGTAGGACTGTCTAAAGACATAAAGTACGCTAACTTAATTCACACTGGCTTGATTTTTGTTTTATAAATATGTGTCATATATGTGTGTGTGTTGAACAGATTGAATTTGATGCTGAGGGCAATGAAATATCAAGAAGTCAAGTCGATGAAGACATCAATCAGGATATACAGGCCACTGATAGCCAACAGCTTGTCAATACACATCATTGGGGAAGCGCCTATGGAGCTTCACCGTTTAATCCACACTCCAGCCTATTTAACGTTGGGGTTTATCCAACTAACCCAGGAGCGTATCCTTATCAGCCCATGAACCAACCTGTAAATCCACAAATCAACCAATGGAACGGGACACATTATCCACTGGATCTAACCATCCAACCCGACAACAAAGGGAACACCGTGTGGTCGACCAACCAGTCCAACCAGATGATCACACAACAACCCATTCCGCTTACAGCCCAGCACAATTTTTACGGACAGATACCAGTAACTGCCACACAACAGGTAATCACGATCAGAGTTTCTTTTTTTAGGAGTAACCCCCCCCCCCCCACCCCTAGGGAGGATATCTACCTCCTCCCCTTCCCGGGCGAAATAGAAATAACATACAGGTTATATAGAAATGCTACCATTAAACATTTTCCGACCCCTCCTTACGCAGGAAATATAAGCTTGCCCCGAAAGTTTCAAATCGCTCTCTGCATCATGATCCGACCAATATCCATTGACATTCGTGGCATTAACTTACCATGGTTCTATACAAACCCCAATTTATTTAAAGGTTTTGTATCCATACATACTTTTTTTTTTTAAATGTATTTTTAGTACTACATCGGGACTGTGTTTTCCTGGCTCGGAAAAAAACTTAGTTTTACAATTTCGTCTGTATATCTGTGTGTCTGTGTGTGTCTGTCTGTGAACACGATACTTTGAGTACCGTTCCAGTTATGTTGACGAAATGTCCTGTATTTATATCAGATGTGTAGTTTATATAAACCTGTGAACGTTTTCCCATATCCGGAAGTGGTACTAACTCAACTTCCGTTTTCTGAAATGCGAATGACTTGAGTACGGTTTAAGTTAGGTGGACGAAATTTCACATATAAATAATACATTGTATGCGCATGCTCGTCAAGTTTTCAACTTATTTCCGGTTACTTGAAGTTCTACTTTACCGTACTTCCAAGTGAAGACTACAACTTGAGCACTGTTCCAGGTAATTAGATGAAATTTCGTATAAAAATTTCAAGATCTTATAATTGGATTACTTTCAATGTTTTAGTGACTCACGCTAATCTATAACATAAAACATACATAACTTGAGTACCGTTTCAATAAAGGTTACGAAATTAGGAGCGAATTATTTTTTTTTACATGTGATTATATTTAAAAAAAAATGTAAGATACGAGAAAGTGTAGGATATAATACTCCCTCTTTATTGAACATACAATTTATGATCAGTAGGTTTCTTTCTGTAACTAATAAAAAATTATTTCCCCCTTCCTAAAAACTAACTGTAAGAAGCTAGCCACCCTCGACTAACAGTGTACCGCCAACAGCAAGCATGTGATCGCAAGTGCTTGAATATTATTATCTCACCTTTATTTTGAATTGTCTAATTTAACGTCTAATTAGATTTAGATTGAGATATCATTTTATTGTCATCACTAAAAAAGTATATTATGGAAAGTTAAAAGGAAATCGCTGCATTAAAAAAAGGTTCAAATTTGAATGACCAGATTTACTACTAACCCACAAACGGGAGCCAAGCGTTTTCCCGAAAACGACTTACCCGATTGCCGTTTGCGAGTGACTTTCTAACATTATTCGCATTCAGGCAATCGTCCATTTGGGTATTTGTCGCATTCGGGCAAGTGCTCATTCGATAAAACGGCCTTTGGCCAAACGGCATTTAGGCAAGCTTCTTTCGGGAATTTGTCGTAGACTCCCAACACACAGACTTGCTGAATTAAATAAATTCTTATTATGAAATGAATCAACTATACACTCAAAATTTTGAAAATTTGGTACACTATTTTTACAAGGTTTCTTGATTTACTTGACTGAGTCCTCTTTGCTCCTTACGGAACACAGAGTCTCCACCATTTCCTTCCATTCATCCGATTCTTGGCAATTAATTTTTTCCTCCTCATCGAGCAAAAAAATATGTTTTTTTTTCAGAATAATCTGGAAACTGTCCCTATACCTGACTACGTTTGTTGCAGTATTTTTACTGCTATGTGCTGCTGTTTACTTCTAGGCAGTTGGGCCCTTTACTATGCGAAGACGGTAAGTTTCAGTGATTGAGCTGTTAATTTTAACAGCGTAACGATACAATAATTTATCCCGGACATATAGACAAGATTGCAAAATTATGTTTTTCCGACTCAGGGAGGTGTAAAACGTCGATTTTTGCAAGATTGCAATACTTTCTCCATACTTAGTATACGAGAAAGTAATAAAATCCAAGATGGCGGCCATCACCATGGCAAAAGAAATTCATTTAATTTTTTTTTTAGACTGAACTCTTAGAGTTATAACTATATGCTAAATATGATAGCATTAGGTTTAGAAGCTAATTTTGGTATCACCCGCCCGTGCAAAACGTTTTCATATTTTATGGAAACGTATTAGTATTTAATTATAAATATTACCAAAAATCAATAATATTAAATTATACGGAACAGTTAGCAGAATAGTAAAAGCATCTATTGTTTCTGAAAGTGTTCAAATGGCTCTCTAAATAATTGTTTACATTTTTTTTTTAAATTTTCGAACGAAGGAGTTAACGTTATAAAGAAAATAAAGTGTTATTGTCTCCTTTGAACCTAAATAAGTACATTAATTAACCCTTGACATTTCTGTATCTAGGCCAATCGTGAGAACCAGGAGCGGCAGTTCCTGAAAGCCAGACAAAGTGCCACCAGATCCTGTATGCTGAACGTAGCTGCCATCATTATAGGGCTGGCTTGTTACGGCATCATCGCTTACGTTACATACCTAAAAGTCAAGAGATAAAACTGAGCCAAGTCATTGTGTTTGTTCTTTGGTTACTTTTTGCTTAGGTCTGGAACGGTGCGATCAATAAACACAAGCTAAATAAAACTGCAGCAGTAGCTGGTATGGTCCTTGTATATCTCTTGGCTGGTTTGTGTTCTTTAAGTAGCTTGGAGTAATAAAAAATATGCTTACACCAGGGGTCGGCAACCTGCGGCTCGCGAGCTGCATGCGGCTCTTTTAACGTCCAGATGCAGCTCTCCAGCTCCTTGCACAAATATTAATAATTATATAATTTCCTTTTTTATTGGACAGTGGGGTACGACTTTACCCTGCGTTCAGTGGGATGGAAGATAAGCCTTATGAGAACCGTACGATGGAAGCGTACGATGCAAGTTATTCAAACCGATATCCAAGCCAGCTAGTCGGCATTTGCCGTGTTGAGGCCTGACTGGCTAATGGGAGACACCTCCTGAGCCGGTGATATCCGTAAAGAAAAAAATAAAATAAAAATTAACAGCTTCTAAAGTGGATTGAGATAGTCCTAGAATAATATTATTTGATTACTAATTTTACTATACTGCCAAAACATGTCTATGTTTTTATACGAATAAATATTATTTCATATTTAAAGCTATTTATTTTAAATAAAAAATCAAATTTATTTACCTAATCCTAATCAAATACCAAAATATTGAACTAAAAATTGTGGCTCTTCAAAAACTGGGAAATTTTGTAAATTGTAACTTTTGGCTCTTGCGTATCAAAAGGTTGCCAACCCCTGGCTTACACGATTGGCCAATATTTCTGTAGGACTGGCAGCCTGTTTACAGTCAAGAATAATAGGCTTGAAAAGCTGGCCCAAAATGGTTCCCAAAGCTTGTTGCCAGAAAGCATATTTCTCAACCAAAATTGAATATTTTATAACATTTGTGTAATATGTACAAAATGACTTCCGGTTTTATTAAGGCTAGAAATATTCTAAAAAATAATTACTATTAATATAATAGTAATTTAGCAAACACTTTTATTTTTAAATTTGATTAATAGAGTTAGTGTGTTGTGGTGAAAGGGGATGTTTTATTATTTAATATAAATAAACTAAAAGGTATAGGCCTACCCCATTGACCGCCAATGTGTAGTATTTTAGCATGATTACACAGACTTTTTATGCCTATTATGATATTAATAACTGTTCTTATAGTGTAATCATATTTCAAACTTACAAGAATTCCAGTTTCCTTTGATTCATGACTGATTTAAATATCGTAAAATACTTTTATATTTCATGGAAATGAAATAAAGAAAGCTTAATAATTGCAGATGTTTTGTAATTTATATGCGAAATGTGTTTATACTTTGCAAATTTTCTAGATTTTTTTTAGAGTAGAAGTTGCATATTTGTTTTATTCGTTTATATTTTGCAAGAGAATAGTTTTAGAATAATAAATAATGGTAAATAATTGTACATTTTTTGCTCGATTCAGTTCTTCTTTGATGATGTGTTATTATTTTAAAAAAGAAAGATTAGTGTATATTTAAAATAAAAGATCTATTCCTAAAATTGTGTCAGATTGCATGATGGTCTGATGATGATGACAGAATAAACACAACCATTTATAAATGGCACTCTGCTTATAGTTAGCAACTATACTAAAACAATCGTACTTGATGAGTTAACTATACCATCCAAATAGCTTTGACTGAGACCGACTACTTGTCACTTCTTCTTTTGGCTTGCTTCACCGTTAAATTTCATATTTAAATATAGTAGACTTTACTATACCTTCAGGTATACATACATATGTTTATTTTCATTCAGCTCGCAAAGCATATTTGTTTTTTACACTGTTTACGTATTAGATATTGTTTTAGTTTGATTGTAAAATAAATGACGGCGTGGTGGGCTCTCCAATGTCATGGGGAGGGGAGGTGTTCAACTTATAAAGACCATACTAGGACGTACATCAATATTATAATACGAGAAAAATGGCCCGTTGAGGAAGGGTACAACGGGCGCTAGGCTGATAGTGCTGTCTCTTTTCTCTAAACTAAAACCAACCCACCCCCCCACCCACCGCCCCCCACCCCCACACACCACCCCCACCCCCCCACACACACCACCCCCGCCACACACCGCCCCCCCACCCCCACCCACCCCCCCCACCCCCCAAAAAAAACATGTCTACTGTCCCATTCAACGAAATATAATTATATACTTTTTCCAGTGTCCGCCCCCTCCCAGAAAATTCTACCCCCGCCACCGAAAATTTCAAGTACCCCCACCCCTCTCCGGGGAGGAAAAAGTCTAAAAGAAACACTGAAACCAACCCACCCCCCCACACACCACCCCCACCCCCACCCACCCCCCCCACCCCCACCCCCCACCCCCCACCCCCCCCACACACACACCACCACCCCACACACCGCCCCCCACCCCTCCACCCCCCCCCCAAAAAAACATGTCTACCGTCCCATTCAACGAAATATAATTATATACTTTTTCCAGTGTCCGCCCCCTCCCAGAAAATTCTACCCCGCCCCCGAAAATTTCAAGTACCCCCACCCCTCTCCGGGGAGGAAAAAGTCTGAAAGAAACACTGGTGTCGCGCTTAGCCACTACCCGAAGAATTGCATTAAAGAAATTGCAAGAAAACCACTTTTTAGATTAGACACATCAATTAGGCGGTAATTTTATTATAGAGTATCGATGAGGAAATTTCTTTTGAGTTGGGGAGGGGGGGGGGGCTCAGACGTTCTTACGCGGGGGTGGGGCTTCGCCCCTACCCGAAGAATTGTATGAAAGAAACTCTTCACGCAAACCACTTAGATTAGACCAAATTGCCTTTGTATTGAATGTTTACTCGAAAATCAATGACGTCATATTAATGTGTGCACTATCCGGCTTGAGATTATTTACTACTCTGTGCTAAATGTGTCGACGTCATACTTCGTTTTTCGAATTACTATGCATGTTTTCGTTTTTCCTTGTGTTTTCTCTAGAGCGTTCTTGTCAGATAGATACATAGACAGACAGCGAAACCATTAGTATTAATGTTTTTTTTCCCTTTTATCCGTTTTGTATAAACGTACGCGTATCCAATAAAGTATCCTATTTTGTTTAAAGTTTAATACAGTCGTAAACACATAGGAGAGAAAATGCAGAATTAATAAGACAAAATTAAAAAGTCATTATATTGGTGACTTTTGAGACAGTGGTGTGGAGACGTAGGATATGCAGGGAGAAGTGAGAGTATAAGGGAGAAGTGGGAAAATCAGGGAGAAATGAGAATCAGTTAGAAAAGGGGTAATCAAGGAGATGCGAGAGAATCAGTTAGAAGAGGTATAATCAGAGAGAAGTGATAGAATCAGGGAGAAGTGATAGAATCAGGGAGAAGTGATAGAATCAGGGAGAAGTAGAACAATCAGGGAGAGAAGGGAGAATCAGGGAGAAAAGGGAGAATCAGAGAGAAATGGGACAATCTAGTAGAAGTTGGACATGCAGAAAGAGAAATTAGACAATCAGGGAGAATAGAATAAAATCTCGTAGAAAAAAAAGAATTGAACACCAAGTGAACGCCAAATAAAATATGCATAATAGTGCGGAATATTATTAGTACTTTATAAATTTTCATACGTTACAACTAGGTTGATGAAATTTCATATTTAAGTATTATATCTAAATCGTAGATCCGTATCAAGTTTTGAGCGATTTCCGATAACCGGAAGTGGAACTCTTTCTACTTTCAATTTTTCAAAAGCCTACAACGTGAATACTGTTTCATATAGATACATGAAATTTTACATGTAAGTAAAAGTTCTATTTCTCTGCCTTCTATTAAATTTTGACTAATTTCCGTCGACCGGAAGTAGTAATTTACGCTATTTCCGATTTCTAAAAACAACGCAAGTTAATTTATAAAGTACTAATAATATCCCGCACTAGTATGCACATTTTATTTGGCGTACACTTGGTGTGCAATTCTTTTTTTACTAGATTCTATTCTATTATAAAAAGTTTAAGCTATTAAAAATGGATTAAAAATAGTGTCTATGTCCTGAGTTGCCATCACCCGTAGTGTTACATTAGAATATTCGTGACAGTTTAGGGGAGATCACTCACAGTTTATTTTTAGTTTATTTTGTTCTTATAGAAAATAAAAATCAGACTGAAATTATATGCATCACACACAAGGTCTACAATAATTAATCAAATTAAGCTTATGATGGCAGGTTGAAATTTCCACCTCGGAGTTAAAATAAGTTAAGATATGTACTAACATGTGAGTTTAAATAATTATTCTTTTAAAATTCCAACTATAATTTAAACTTTTTTTTTAAAACGTTGCTTAGGAACTGGAGTCTTTTTATTTAACATCGCTGGATGTATTCAACACGTTAATTTGCTAGTACCGTTACTATAATCTAATAAATAAATAAAGACAGGCCTAGAACTGTGAGCCTAGATGAATTCAATTTACAGTTAGCTAAAATGAAGCGAAGCTCATGAAGTTGAGCTAATTGTAAGACGGAACAAACTTCTTGGTTGATAAATAAACTCAATCAAGCGTGTTAAATAAACCCCTTTAAGCGATAACTGAAACATTACTCTTATTAAAACGACATACTTTTTACAGGCGTTTGATGTAGGGTAGTTTCTTTTTTTGAAATTTCAATTAGATTTAGGTAAATTTTAATAAAAGGTCATTAACATTAAACTTTGTCGATATCAATACAGATTAATGAATAGGTTCTATATAAGGGTTAACCTCATTTTTGTTTTAAACCGTGATTGTGTTTTTCTTTATTCATAGAACTAGCGGGTTTGTATAGATATCAAATGTATCCATTTGTGAATAGTAATCATTATTTGTAACTGATGAAATACATGTTCGCTTGAATCACTTATTTTTTTAAATTACCTATATTTTAACATTTATCATTAACTTTTAAACTTTATGTAATAATCGAAAAGTGCGTACTTATAAATCAATGAAATATTCCTAAATGGAAAATGCTTTATAACCTTTTATGGGTAGTGGCTGCATATTTACCCCCCCCCCTTTCTCCTCTAGCAAATCTACCTCCGCCCCATACTAACTATGTCTCAAACACCCTTATAATTTTGTGTTGAATGCCACCTACAACTTTACTAGCCCACCAGGACATATTTCTCAGACCTTCCCTCTAATCAGCGGGCTACGTAACACATTAAACGTTTGAGCTTTATAGAAACGTAACACGCTCATTGAGTTTAGAGGCTTTGGCAGGAATCCATTGATCCAAGGAAATAGTCAGGCCTCATGTAGACGTGTACTTAATATGTGTGTACGCCACAAGATACTTGCTTTAGACCTCAGTTACACACTAGCCTAAGATTTACAGCTTTAAAAATCATCTCCACCGCTTTACACTGCTTCATTCTACAGCTACACAGCCTCATTCTAAAGCTTTACACGCTTCGTTTTACAGATTTACAATTCCTCATTCTACAAATTTACAATTCCTCATTCTACAGATTTACAATTCCTCATTCTAAAGCTTTACACAGTCTCGGGGCTACAGCTTTACACAGCTTGCACAATTTGCAACCTGCTAAGTCTTATTCTAAAAACAAACATAACAATTTTTTTTCAATAATTCCGAGTATAGATGTATACTCTCTCATCGTATGCGTGGGAAATTATATACGTTTTGGGTCAATATATATATTTAAAAAAAAACTTTGTTTCTTTAAAACAACATTTTTAAGGCGCTATATACTATTCATTTAGTATTTCTTGTCTATTATTTTTTAACTGGAATAGTGGACCTGCTTGTCTTAAGTCCATGCCAATTGGTATAAACAATAATAAAACAGTGAGTTCGATATGCTTCATACTTTGCGGATAACATATTCACAATACATATACATAACATGTGTGCATAACATGACATAGGATGTATACGTGACTTGCTTACATAAAGTATGAACCTTATAATGCATTTTTAAATCGGTCGTGTTCTCTATTGTACGCACTGCGTACACAAGCAAGGCGATTATCCGTTCACATCCTGTTTATATCCCATCCTACCTGCACATTGTGCCTAATTTTCCAAACGTGTCCAATTTTCCAAACGTGTCCTACATCCAGCGGCAGGTGTGCCGTTTTTTAGGTCGAACCTTGCATATAACACCCCGGAAGGTATGCTGATATTTAAACAAAAACACCTAAATAGATAATTAGATACGCGCATTAACATTTCTCTTGTAATCCCCCCCCCCTCCCCGTACACTAAAAATCAAACAAATTATGAATATCTGACAGAAAACAATACTTAAGGGGCGGCAACTAGGAAGTAAATCTACTCAGAGAATTGTCGTTCGTGTCATCCCCAAACTATTGTGTTCAGATTTTACTATTAAATTTTATGATGAAATTAACCCAAAGATTGCAAGCTTTCGTTAAGCCATTTTCTCCCGCGCGAGTGGGGGGGTGGGGGGGGGTTGGATTTTAAAAGACGGGGGGTTGCTCTTAAAATAAGGAAGGAGGCGC